AAGTTTGTTTAACTACAGAAGGGATGTCACCAATGTCCCATCGGAGCATAAACTTTGTAGTGAGACCATGCAGGAACTTTTAGTGAGACCATGCAATATCTAAACGGACTATCTATTCTTCATATGACACACTCTACGCGACACAGATTTGCCACATTCACAAAAAGTGAAGTCTGTGTAATTACACAAGGGATGTCACCAATGTCCCAACGGGGCAGAAACTTTGCGTGAGAACTCTGTGGTGAGGCCATGCAGGAACTCTGTAGTGAGACCATACAGGAACTCTGTGGTAAGACCATGCAGAAACTCTGTGGTGATACCATGCAGAAATTTCTGAAACTCTGTGCAGAAACTCTGCGGTGAAACTCTGTGCAGAAACTCTGTGGTGAGATCATGCAGAAACTCTGTGGTGAGACCATGCAGAAACTCTGTGGTGAGACTATGCAATACTGTAGTTAAATGTCGACCTACATCTGATACACTCTACACGACACAAATGTAGAGTAGCAGCCATTAGCCCACAAGGTCACCATATCCAGATCACTCCGGTTAGGCCTCCACGCTAACCTTTCACCTAATCCGCGGGAAATCTCCGGGTTCAGAGAGGCGTACCTCAGGGGACCGTTTCTGTCAATGTTGATCCACAGAAGCCAGGAGTACTTGGTTAGGGGTGAAGGTGGATGAAACGCACATTACAGAGTCTATCTGGTGGCGACTTGCTTCATTAGTTCCCGGTAATGGGGTTGTGATTGCGCGGGGTTGGGGGCCTGTCGGTGTGAGATACTCCTTTGACTGCATTTAAAGTGCAACAACACAACACACGATAGGGCACCAGACAACAAAGTGGCTGACCATGGTGTGTGGCACCACGCATTATAAAACATTATATTATATTGCATAACCGAAAAGCAATAAATACAATCTTAAAATGATTATCACCTAAAAGCCAATGGCAAAAAGGCTCAACTGGAAAGGGTGGCGAATCTTTTTTACCTCCATCAAAAATGGAGGTATTATTTTTGGTCTGTGTGTGTGTTTCAGCAGGTTGTAATAGATATGGTTGGCTTTAGATTGTCGCAGAGGAGAAAGTCATCGATCATTTCTACATCTAGTTAGTTACTTTCACAGGTGTTAGTTGCTAATATTATCTTCTATTCCAGCTTCTGCGATACAGAAGGAGTTTGCATCAGCCCCCTGTCCAAAAGAAATTCTCAAACTCCTAAACAGTAGTGACTTGAAGACTCCATGGTGAATGAGAAACGGATCCAAAAAAAAATAACATTTAGACAAAGCCTCAAAGTTTGAGATCTTATGGAGGTCTGAGATCGCCGAATTCTTGTTGATGTTGCAATGTACCTCAAGTGCGCTTGAGAGTTTTTTTTTCAACCTTTATTTTCAACGTTTATTTATGACAAGGCTATGCGCTTGTGACCCCTGGAGTAAGAAGATGAGGTAGAACGTCAGAAAGTGTGAGAAACATTTGGCGGTTATTCTCCAAACGATACTTTCTATGCAGAGGTCGAAAGGTTCCCTTCTTCTGAATGGCGCCCAATTTCTAACAGCCGGCTCATTCAGGTCACCATTTGCGAACAGAGGTTGACTGACGGAGTCAGGCGTCAGAAAACGGGTGCTGATCAGAATATGTTAACGGTAACATCCTTCAACCTCTACGTGGAGAGTACACCAGACGCTTTTGTTGGCTGGGAAAGGTGTGAGCTCCTTCAGTGTGCCAATAGTTTGTTGATGAACTAACAAAGGTCAGCTAAAAATAGATAAAGTTATCGAGAACAAGACGAAATCGTAACTAACTCATCAACAATCAAATGAAATAAGGTAACATAGAAGTAATTATAATCGTTCAGATATCAAATCATAATGGTAGGTTCTCCTCCAGTTCACATCACCACACCGTCCAAATTCCAGTTCCGAAGTCCTTATAAATTAACTACAGTTTCTTTCCTCGGACTGCAAAATCAAGGAGCTCCCTCCCAAACACATGCTTTCCTTTCGAATATACAATCCTCAATACAAGCTTTTAAAATAAACATCCACTGCCATCTTTTGGCATAATCATGCATCTTTAGCTTTACCTAGCTCTATACCTAGAAATGGTCATCTAGCCTGGTTGCATTAAGCTACACCGTTAAAAAATGTTTGGGCCAACTGTACAATTTGCCAGCTCACAAACTATTGGTCTACGCTACGGCTTCCAGTCACTCACAGTGCAATCACTCTCTCTCTTTTCTAATCAGCATGTACACTGTATACCAACAATTAACAGTTCTATGCATAGTTATTGCATCTTGGAGTATTGATAAATGCTAATACACCAAACGGTTTAATCCCACAATGGTGAGATAAAGAAAATTGAGAATCTCGGAAAATTACTCGATATAATTACAGTTTGTCCACACTAATCCTTCCAAATGCTCGCTGGCTTAAGAAAAGGGTACAGGGAAATAAGAAATGAATTTGTCTTTTAATCAGCTTATAAGGCCTTTAATCTATCAACGTTTTGTGGGGATTGAATGCTAATTTCTGAAGGCATAGAATTGCAAAATGAAAAGAAACGACTTACGAGACTTACACCCATGCTAGGCTGACAGCTACACTAAATCGAAATTCTTTGCAACGACTGCTTTGAAATTCCATTAACCTTGGTGAAATAAGGAACCGAGATATACTGACGGTTATCCACTGTATTTTATTCACGTCATTTACTGGTAACCTTTTTATCTATGCGGAAAACAACGGCACTCCATCTGTCCTTTTGAATAACTGCCCGTAACGAATGGGAGCTTGGGTGGAGTTGAAAAATACCAAGGTCGCTGAGTCAGTGAGTAGACACTTCTTGAGTCAGAATTAAAGGTGCCCGATGTAATTTCAGGGTGGAAAAACAAGATATGAATAAAGAATCTGTATGAGGAAATCTGTCTAATATTGGTGGTTACTGGCGTTTCTTAGCAAATTTTGGTACCACCTATAAGTATAGCTAGAACCAGTCTACTATACGAAACAACCTTTTTTTTTCTCAGCAATATCGCATTTATGCGCTTAGAAGATACAGCGATTGTTCGAAATAATTAAAGATGTTGGGCTAGTATATAAATATTAAGGGAGCAACCTACTTTATTTTAGATTCTGTCATCAACGAAAGTAAAAACACCACAAGAACACATAATTTTACCCCCTTGCGTTATGCAACCTGGGAATATTACCACCTGGCGCTATGTATCCTGGGAATGGGAAAAATGGTGAATGCCTTTGGGCCGACGTATGAAAAAAAGTAGTCGTAATGTCTTTATATATAATAAGTGGCGTGTGCTAATAGCTTTCCATCCAAGATGTGGTTGTGACGAAATTCAAGACACGATTCTGAACCGCCAGACCTTTTAATTGTAAAAGAAAAGAAAAGAAAAGAAAGGCGGACGAGAAAGGGGTTGTTGTATCTGCCATGTATGATATGAAAGGTTTTATGTAACGAAGCGAACTAAAACTTCGCTGCAGCAACAAAACGGCGAGTAGCGTTAGCGTGCGGGTCCTGTCCTTAGTGCTGAAACAACAACCCTTATGGAGATACAGTCCAGCAGAGAATTTCATCCTTACAAGGACCGAAATGTGAGGGTGTATCATTTACTATACACAATGCGTTTTCGCTTGAGGCTTTTTTTTATAGATTCATACGTATTGATATCTCTGATTTATTGCTAGGTCAATAATCGCCAGGTATTAGAAAGGATAGCACCACAAGCTGTTCTCAGTGTGTCGCGGAAAATAGTTAAAAAAATGTTTATATCAGATGCCCAAACCATAAAAATACAGAGAAATAAGTGACACTGACAGTATAATAAGTGGAATTATTTTTCCTGTGGGGTGCCAATTCACTGCATGCCAGTTATGTACGACCTAGCTCATTACAGTTGACACAAATGTCGATTTTTTTTTATTCGTAATTTTAGCTTTCATTTGGGCTCCAGAAGAGTCTAGGGAGGAATTCATACATGTATCTATCACGTTTCAAGACGTAACGATGTCTTACCCGTGACATTGAGTGCTGACTTGAAGGAAGGGCAATTTGGCGCTAACGTAGGAGGGGGATGAAAAATGTCTTGAAAGATTCCAGATAAGATATTCGTCCCGAACAAGGTGGCAGATATATCGGGCCGGCGTTATGGCTCTCTCGCGCCGCCCATACGTCACGTCCCCATCAAAACGTATCGACTTTCCGGCGGAACGAATGATCGCGCTGGGATGGAGTCGTGGGCTGTAATGACAGGAAGGGGGAGGGGGGCGGTTTGAGGTGTGGAGATGTGTAGTGTGCAAAACAAGCCCCATTTCAGAGGTCACCTTGGCGCGTGTGTCTGGGATGTGATTTTCTGTCTGAAGCTTGCGGCTGCCGTCGCTAGCTGAATACGCCTTCATATGTAGCACAAACGTGACTGTCTGAATTACATGTCTCCGTGGGGATTTTTTTACTACCTGGGTGCTGTTCTCCCTAGTTTAAACCTTGGCATACACAAGAAATTGTCACTCAAGCAACTAGCGACTGCCGGCACTGAATACGCCTTCATATGCAGCACAACGTGGCTGTCTGAATTATATGTCTCCGCGGGCAATTTTTTACTACCTGGGCGCAGTCGTCGCTAAATTGTTACTCAAGCAACTGAATAGGTTTGAAACCTGTCGGAAGTTTCAAGTAGCATCCACAACTTTTCGTCAATGACTGCAGTCTGCGGTGGCTGCTACTTGAGTTATTAAACTTATCCTAGTTACTTGAGAAACAATTTCTCTAACCTTCATCAACAACCTTTGGTATAGTGGGAAGGACAGGAGCAGATGCTACATGCCCAGATGCTGTTAATGTTAGGGTGGTTTCCCGTTTACAAATTCTGCGTTTCAAGTCAATACGATGATTTGAAGTGACATGAATCGAAGCTGAAAAGTTCTGACTGTCTCATGATCAAGCGAATATCCTAAAATTTATGTCTCCTGTTCTGCAGGTGCGTACGGGCTGCAGTGTTTCGCCTGTCTGCAGCAGATCAGCCACGACGCCTGCAACAGGATGTCTCCCCAGAACTGCACAGGGAAGGACGAGAACGCCTGCTACACGCAGGTAGAGAGGTACCTGCACACGGGCAAGAAAATCTCCAAGGTATGGAGAAAGTGGCATGGGTATATCATCACGAGTGACATTGTTGTAAGGCCATGTTGATTTGATGATATAGATGACATCCTCTGGGAACCCTCAATGCAAAACTGATGTGAGCGTACGAATAAAAAAAAAGTTTGGCAAAAAAAGTTGTCTTTATCATGAAATCGACGTGGTCATGAAGGTTGGACAAATGGCGAGTAATAGACTCTTCCTTTTCATTTCATGACATTTCTCTCGTTTCTAGTGATCTAGAATTGATTTTGGCATTCTATGACTTAAGTATCGTTTTCCTTTTTTTCAATTTACGGCATATATTTTGTGGCTGCTTTGTACATTTCCAAAACGATGATCGGATAGATTACAGGTTTTTTTTCTATTAAAGTAAACGATGTCTCAAACTTGATGTATTACGTATGTTTTCTCTAGGGTTGTTCCAACACCATCCGTTGCCGAAAAGGCGAGTCCCTCAACCACGACTGCGAACGGCCGCCCCGGAAGTGCACTTACTGCTGCGAGGGGAACCTCTGCAATAGGTCCAACGGCCAGCAGAGGGCGCTGTCGCACAGTGTGCTGTTCACCACATGTCTGGCTTTGACGGTGCTCCTCGTCACTAGCTGCGGACTGGATGTCTGACAGTGGGGCATATTAAAAATCTTGAAAACTATCCGTTATATTAATGTGTTGGTGAAGTTGTGGCCACAGTTTCTAGTTGATATTCAAGAATCGAACGACGTGCTGCAGCTGCGATATTAAAAGGTGCATACTTGTTTTGAGCGTAATATAATAAATTCCCACATGATGTACAACTATGGGGGACTCGCTTCAGAGTATTTGATCCGGTCCCTATGAAATATTGCGTGGGTATACGCTCATCATTGCCAGAGGAAAATCTACATACTCTAGTTTCAAATTTAGGGACATTGCAGCCTTGTGCTTTCAGTCCCGTCACTCAGCTGCAGTATCAGTATCAGGACTTGTAATAAGTGGCTGTCTACAGTTCGACATATTCTCGCAAGGTGACGCACTTGAGTAACGATCAGTGTCGCCTGTTAACGTTGTCTGTATGTATCTAAACATTGTAACTCCGTCCTCAGAACTCTACCAGTGTAGTTAAAGAAGTATTGAAGTGGATGAATGTAACATATACTGACTCAGAAAACATGATATGCCAGGTGCCGGTTGTGAATCAAATGTGCTATGAAATTCTAATGTAAGTTACTAAGGTCTTTAGATTTCAACTTGACTGCATACACAATTTTTGCTGTGACGCTGCAGTTGATGTATATTTGGTCTTGGGATGTGAATGACGTGCCAAATGTGTGAATAATTGATATAGTTTTGTAGAAGCTATGTATAATGATATGATGTATATTGAACTTTCTATGACTGTCTTGTTGAACAAGCTTAGATGTGGTGCGTTATGAAAGAAAGCATAAGAACAGATACATTGTAGGCCTATAATAATTCTTTCAGAATTCGTTTTGAATTCTCAAAAACTTTGACTATAAAAGGCAACATTTGCAAATAACATGTATAATGTTTACGTAGACTAGCCTAAAAATACTAGTGTATGGTGACCAGCCCCTCCAGCTGTCCTGCTACATAATGTAACCCAACACCAAACCCTAAGACCAGCAACTGTTACCATGGTGACAGACGTCTGGTCCAAGTCATTGACCTTGTGTGTTTGGAAAAGAAGAAACAAAGAAAAAACTATGTTTTCCTTCCACCTATTCGTGACTTTGGAAGCGAAACGTCAAACGTTCCAAGTAAAAAACAAGATACCCTCTGTGATGAAGTGTGTTGTATGGAATCACACCTATTCACAGCTCTTTAACTATTAGCTGTTGTTCCTGAATAGTTAAAAATGAACTACATGACGTTTTATGTCTAATATCAGCCTTTTGATATAATGTTATGTACCACAGTGTATGTACTTGCTGATGTAATAAAGTTTGAGTGTTATTCTTGCTGTTGTTGTCTCCTTACTCATTTAAAATCAATTAAGCAAAAATATCAATTAAACCTGTGGATCTTGAAATCTCACGTGTCACTGACAAATGGTAGTGGGCTGTTTCCAAAATCATATCCAGTTGCTTGATTTTTGGATTTGTAACTGATCTTATCACCTGGATGTCAAACCTTTATTGATGTATCAAATTATAATGTTTATGGAATAAGCAAGGCCCATCATCAAGACTTGGTGCTTTTACATTTTTATTTTCATAATGTACAGGCGACAAAAATAGACTCTCTGTTTCCATTTGAACAAAAATATAAATTCTCTGAACATGAATAAACTTGCCCGAACTATGTACATGTATAGTCTGTGTGGTGTAGTTGTACATACATGTAGTGATGAACAGACTAACAACTTCAAACTTGTCTTATTACTGCACTGTACATTATAACAGTTTAGACACAACAGAGGGTGCTTTGTTGAAGGGAAGGCAAGTATCTTGCATTTAGCAAAATGCACAGAATTCGAAGGATAGTACTTTTGCACTTCAATAGCTGCCAATTTGGAAAAAAAATTCAGGGAAAAAAAGGAGAAATCTGGACATCACGTCGAAGATTTTGGAAGATTCTGTGCACTTCTGTATCAAGTAAACACATGCCCAGCTTTGCCAGCTCTTTCATTCCTACTGGCTTCCACATCCTGCTTTTTTTATGCATGATACATTTTGGTGAGCTCTGTGCCGAATATGGTACAGTATTGTGGAAACACCACCTAGCAGCTCACAGAGGCACTGCATAAACAGACAGCCCCAGATCAAATATGGCCGACATAGCCTTTCACATGCAAATAGAACTAGTTTGTAGACACAACAATTTGTACTAGTTTTCAACACAAAAAGAGCACATGCAGAAGTCAGTATGAGCAATGAAAAAGGACTGGGTAGACTGGGAACATGTTTAGCTAGCTATTATTCTGCAAGAGTTGCCCTCCCTTCAATCTATAACTAAACACAATGGGAGGGTCTGTGTGCTGATGGTAGATGTAGCTGCAACAAGCGTTTCACTGAAGAGTCCACCATCGTACACACATTCCCTCACAACAATTATATCAGCTCAACTTGCTTTCATGTCCACAGCGTTTTTCCTTTCCAAAAACATACCCTGCATATCAAAAATTGCACCTGATATGTACCTTTTATGTTGTATACTATCAGATATCATTCTTGCACAATATGATGATCCAAACTCAACCTGATATGTTGAGAACTCAATTTTGGTTCAAGACAGAGGAAAGAAGACAAGTTGTTTTGGTAAGGACACTGAAAACTGTTCTGAGCTGTCGTGAACACAACATTGCCACAAACACCAAAACTGGACAGTCCATTTTTTACATGTTCCTTTACGTCCCTTGGTCCACTGTAAAAATGGATTAGTCCAGTCCTTTTGAGCTATTCCACTTTCAAGTTAAAATCAGATCAGTTATGTATGGGAATGAAGGATGCCTGAGAAATGCTGTTAAAAACTTAGGTTGTAATATATAGTATGGGGGTGAATCATACAACCATTAACGAAAAAAAAAGACAAAATTTGAAACATAATAAGAATGCAGGTTATGTGAAAGGCAGGGAGTTTGAAAAACTGTTCTGATCTTGTCACAAAGACTTCTTGAAAGTGAAACAGCCCCTACACACTTATAATAGTTGGTGCTATCTACTTATCCCGGTCGCTGAACTAGTACTGGATACACTGGAGCTACTGTCTGTTCGCTTGTGTCCGTGTACTTTCCGCGGCCTGTTCATTTTGGTGGTCTGTTTGCGGAAGGATTGCAGCACGTCTATGAGGACTCTCCTTTTGAACCGCGCGGCCTCCTGAATGACATCGTCCAGCAGGGCCAGTCTGAGGGGCAACGGTCCGTCAACCTGCTCCAACAGGGCCAGGATCGCATCGTCATCTGGAAACAACACAGGGAACAGTTAAGAGCTGAAAAACAGTGACTTTCTGAATGCATTTAGCAAGCACTCTACCAGCTAATGCCCCTGTCGGTTCATCTCCAAAGAGACAAACAAAAGCCTAGCGGGGTCATGTGGCGTAACGGTAGTGTGCTTGACCCAGAACCAAGAGGTCCCGGGTTCGAACCGTGCCATGCCACAGATCTTGTGCCCTTGAGAAAAAGGCACTTAACATGACTCACTTGACTCAGGTGAAAATGAGCACTGTATTGTGTTGGTGGTGGGACAAAAATAAAACTTGAGTGTGCCGTCATCACCACATCTAGTCATTACATGTTGGAATAAAAACAAAAACAAAAGCCCAAACCACTCACGTCTTCCTGGCCTCCTGAGTTCCCTGAAGATGGCCGTCTTCAGCTTGGCGTTTTCTCTCTCCACCTTCTGCAGATCCCCGGGAGACGGTGTCCTTTTCTTCCCGGCGTTTCTCCCGTCATGGAGGCCCGGGTTGTTCCCCGGGTTCCTGGACTGGTTCCCTTTGTCCCCGTTTAGGTGGTTTGTCAGGTCCATGTTCGGAACGGCCTCTGTATCCATTTTCTCGTTCACGGAACCATCCAAGTTTTTCATATCTACTTCTTTGTCACAAAAGACAGGAGTATTAGAAGCCTTCAAGTGAAAATTGTTCAATTTCATCTCAAACATACACAAAAGTAGTTTATGAATATGGTCCCATACCCAAGTTTACACATATACATGTACCTAAAATTGCAAGACATATTCCTAAAAAGAAATTTCCAAAGAAGTTTTTGTACCTGAAAAAAATGCTACAGTCTCACACCTGAGTTTTTATATACCTGAACAGCAAAGGTTGGAATGATATGGTCTCATACCTGAGTTTGCTGCTGGTTTTCCTACATTAGGCGGTGCTGAAGCTGGTCTTTTTTGGTTGTCCTTCTGGCTAGCTTCGTTTGCGGTGGACTGGGGTCTTCTGTAGGGGCCAGGTGACAAGGACCGAGCACGCTTCCCCGGTGGCCCTGTGATAAAACAAAGGACACCCTTACAGATCTCTGTTTTATAACCATAGCATTGGTGCTCCAGTGGATAGTCACTCTGCCTCTGGACTAAGAGGTTGGGAGTTTAAATCCAACTGTTGTGGTGGATTCATGCATATGCAAGCTGCTGGAAAGGTGATAATGTCTTTAAAACAGGACGTGAAGGACAGCAAATTTTGCTGGTAGCCTACTTTACATATCTTTGCATATCTTTACATGCCGATTTTTGTCTGTCTAAGATGACGGATTGGGCAAAATTTCTGTCCGTCATGAGTGTTGAAATTCTGAAAAATGACGGAAAACAGAAGATGGCTAGAACTGCTAGACTGCTAGAACTTCAAAAAGATGTCCCCTTACCTGGAGACCCTGGGGGTGAGTCCATCTGTCTCTTGTTCTTCCCCTGCTGACCCTGGAGTAGGTTATCCACATCTGCCTCGTCTACCATCATGCTCTGCAGAAGGGAAACAAGCAACGTTACCATTCAACTTCTTACCTGAGGTAAAAGAGACCCCTAGCATATTGCGGGTGAACTGCATGAAATCATGTGCATGCATCAGCTATATCTGTATTAATGTACCAGTAGTTTATGCTTTGACTGACTTAATTTTGCAGTATGAAGAGCCTGTCAACTTCACAGTTGAAACAATACCGTAGTGATACAATACTTTTATCAAATTTCATATTCCATTCGTTTGCATTACTAGACTAAGTATTTCATCATTTACCATTAAATATTTTGCACATAATACAAGTCTGTGTTTGTATGTATGTATGTCATGATCAACATCAACCGTTAATCGACTTATACTTCTTGTACCATAACCCAATCATTTCCATGTTTCATCAACCCATCTACCGAATATCAAGACAATACATCCCAACCTTCTAAAGTTATCGTGTTTAGAGACAGACACACACAAACACTACTGAAAACATAACCTTCTTGGCGAAGGTAATAAAAACATGTCTCCCTCACCATGTCCTTGGACAGTTTGAAGGGGTTGCCGAAGGTGTGGAGTCTGACCGGCTGTGGCTCCACCTCCCTGAGCGGCTGGGGTTGTTTCTTCAGGTACTCCTGGTAGTTCCCCATCTGCTGTACAGGAATGCTGTGGAGTTGGTCTGGAATAACACAGGGAGATCATGTCAGCACATGGCTTAAAGCACGGCTCGAATTACTTTTTCTGCATACCTGCACTGGTGCAGATAACATTGAAAATTACCTTAGTATGGATCATACTAAAAACTGTTCAGAAACCATTGTCATTATTTCCTCAGAGGTACATTGTAGTAACAGTCAATGTAGCAAATAAAAATCCACATACATCATATATATAAACCTAGTATAAGTACCAGTGCAGGTTAGTTGCAAGTAGACATCAGAAATACCAGCACCAATTTTATCTGCACTAACCTGCATATGCACCCAGTATTTCAAGCCCTTCGTATAGACTATAGGACACCAGTAACACTAAAAACATTACCTTCATTGACACACTTGTAAGCAATCTGTTCATAATTTAATCATTTTTTGTTTGCTTCAAGTACAGTCTTTTGTGTAGTCCTACAACTTTTACCCTTTAGGCCACACCAATTTAATTTGTTGGTTCTCGGATTCGCCTCTTCATTTTTTTCTGATTTGCAAAAAAAAAAAAGATTCTGGTTCTGAATCAACTCAAAAATGCTCATATTTTGCCCCCAACAGTTGAGGAAATTCCTTTTCTTCCTAGTTGTTACAGTTTTTCCGTTTTTCCATCAATGCAGTGGTTTGATTAAAAGTTCAAAATTTATTCTTTAAATTTTAACCCAGCCTTTTTTGTTGACTTCCTGGCTCATATTGTAGCATTTGGGGCTATAATAGGATGCCTAGACCTGTTTTTTTTTTTTCGCCCTGTCGCTTCAAATTTTTTCTGAAAAAATCCGAGAACCAACAAATTAAATTGGTGTGGCCTTACTGTATTTTATATCTTTTATAACAACATTCCCACCTTCATCAACAAACTTGATGTGAGCCAGGGAAGTCTGCATGAGGTTCCTCCTCATTCTCTGCACCTGAGGATGATGACAATTGGTTTATTAAGTATTCACACAATCTGACATCACCAGTCAACTGACTAGAGAAGTAACAGTTGCAAAGCAAATGCATTATGTTTACCTTCGGACATGGTCTGCTCTGTTAATTCTTACTCAAACACATTCACATATACATGTACTACTAGTATATGGTGACAAGAGCAGAGCAGACTATGAAATTGCAACATTATGTAACCAAACACCAGTCACCATGGTGACAGATGTCAACAAATCATGTCATTGGTCAGGTCAGAGGTCATTGTTTGGAGAAGAAAAGGAAGAAACAGAGCAAAAACAATATGTTTTCCTTCGGTAAACATTAAAACAATGGAGGTGACAGACAAATATTTCATGCTGGCTAGAACACTGGTTACAAGTGTAGCAGACCTGGTCAAGCAGGCCCGCCCGCGGGATGTCGAAAGGGTTGCGGTAGCTCTGCGTCCTGAGCTCCCAGTCCGCCACTGCGATGGAGAAGCCGGGGAACTCGGTGGCGTCGGTGCGGATGGGCGCGGGGAGCGGCGACTCTCCTGTGATGGACTGGAGAACCTGCTGGAAGTCTGTACGCAGGGCAGGCGAGGCTGGGGTGGACCTGAGGGGGAGGGGAAAAAGGGTTAAACTAGCTGCCATCCAAAGATAACCATGTAAAAAAGGTTTAAATTTGCTGTCATCAAAAAGGTTAAAATATGTCTGGTGCAGGAGATTTTCAATGTTATCCTGTACCAGTACAGGTACATGTAGATGCATACACAGAAAAAAGTATTCTGAGCCCTAGGTTTAAATACCCACCTTGGTACAACTCTAATGATGCTGTCTTGTGGAGGTTTCTTTCCTACTGAAGCTATTATTCTGTCACTCTCCAACTTGGCCTGGAAATGAAAATGAAGAACGTTACTAAAATACATATAATTAGGTTCACTATATTGTATCATAATATTATCAATAACAACATTATTTCCTGGAAACATTTTGGTAGTCCTTATTCTGCCTTCTTAAGGGCAATACTGACTGCACTGGGCAATAGAACTAATCTTTATTTACATGTGTACCCTAAAGGAAGTAACTTGAAAGAACCATTCCCATACCCAGAACTACCAATAGCAGCTTAGGATTCTTTATCACTAAGGAAATCAGTCATCACAGCCTCCAACACTATGGTAACAGACAGTTCTTGGACTGACAATTTGTTCTTCTTGTTCTTGAGATGATACTGTGCAACACCCCTCTGTTGGGGTAAGACGCACAGGGGGGAGTGTGTTGCACCCTTATTGTTTCCTCAGGTGTAAGAGTACGGCTTCCTTGAAGTTGTCAGGCTCTGTAATTTCTGTTATGACCTGAGGAAGTGCGTTCCAATCCCAGACTGTCTGAGGGAAATAGGAATATTTGTACTTGTAATTTACGAGGACAGATGCATGTTTAAGTGAGGACTAAACAAGACACCACCAGTACCTGTTGCTTTAGCTTCTTGAGGTAGGAGATGACACTGTAAGACAGACACATGTCCAGGTGATCTGGGATTAACTGGGGAGCCCCCATCCTCCGCAGGGCTGCTTTCAACGGCTGGAAAATAATAGAATAAAATTGATCATCTATACTGGCACAACACAATTATTACAGTGCCTTTCGTAAGGTCTTCTACAACACTATACATACAAACAATGCATCGATACAAGTGTCAGAAATGAACTTAATAACAATATGCAATATACAATTAAAAATTATACATTCCTTCCACCACTAAATGACTTGGAAGTAGTTCAAGAAACAAATGTATTTGCAGCAACTTAATGTAATTCAAACATAAAATCACTGGAAGCAACACAATAAAGTACTTGTGCAATATAGGAGTTTCTGTCATTGCTTGGTATCATTGTGCTTTATTCAGGTACATATAGGGAAAATTATACTTACACCCATGTAGTAGCTAGGCATGCTCTTTAGATAGTTGTCGAATGCTGTTCTCCACTTTGCATTGGGCTTCAACTTGTGCACCTTAAACAACTCATCTGGGAAAATAGGAAGACAAGTTAAAGCTGCATTGTGTACATCTGGAATTCTGGATGATGCAATAATTCAATTTTCTGCCCTTTCCCTTACAAAATAGGTTGAATCAGCCCATATGCAAATAAGTGCTGTTCAGGAAGTGGAAGTGCCAAAATATGACACCTTACAAGTGTGTTTAAAAGTTAAAAACACAACTGTCAGTTATGTTTGTTTACATTCTTGCAGTTTGAGGTGGCACCACAAACTGAGCGCACCTCCTGTGGGCTGTTTTAGCACCAACAATAAATGTCAGAAATGAGATTCCACAAATATGTTAAATTAAAAAAAGGAAGTAGATTATAATCACAAACAGATTTTTTTCAATTTGAATACTTCAATTTTTGAAGCAAAAATGTAACATAGTGCCCCTTTAATAAATTCATGCAATACAAACAAAAACAACCTACCCAGAAGTGGCAGTAGTACTGGGTAGTTGTAGGGCATGATGAAGAGATTGACACATGTCATACTCATACTGGCCTTCAGGTACCCAAATGGATGTCCGATGTCACTGTACCGGCCACTACTGGGCACAAAACACTGCACAACACAATAGGGTCATAGTAAGAGCTCCAAAGTCATCAAGTCAAGAACATTAGGTGAACATTTGATACAACATATGGCTAAAGATGAAGGTCAGACATCCAGGTAAACAATATTTAAAGATTAGTGTTACGGACTGTTCCCTATTGTCACATGGTCTGTAAACACTGCTTTCTTCCCAAAAGTTTGTTTGAGTTTGCTATGGCAATATTTCACCCCTCCAAATGTCTGTGTTCATTGAATAATACCTATCACATTTGTCTATTTTCAGGAACTACAGTATTTTGCGTGTTATTGGTGTCAAATGGTCTTCAAGTTTGTTTGAGTATGTTATGGAAGTACTATAATTTTATTGTGGTACTTTTAAGTTTGTGGTTTTCGTGGTCATTTCTGACCGTAAGCTTATCATTAACATTAACAAATAATTTGTTGACTCTCTTTTTTTCAGCACCTGCCACCAGTAGTTCCGTGAACATCTCCATTTTTCTCGGACCACGAACTCTTGCTACCATGAACATAAAGACATAGTGAAGTACAGTATTTCACCCTTCCCTACCTGCCAACATGTAGTGGGTGACTTCCTCTCCAAGATGAACTGTGTGAGCGGCGAAGGCTCAAGTTCATACTTGTCAAACGGCAGGTTGTCGATCACCATGGGCTCACTGTTGGTGCAGGTGAACTTCACCATCGGGTGGGCATTCCTCGGCAACTGCAAAATAGAAAAAAAAACATTTTAATTTAATTTTTTCAGTTGTGATTTTTCTTACAACCTGGTTCAAATGTGTGAAATTAATATCATTGGAAGTGAAAAGGACTGAATTACATTGTACATAGTCATGTGTGAGAAACAAAAACAAAATGGAAATAGACAGTGGAAACTAAGCCAGCAGAGGCTGAGATAAGGTACATTGAATTTGTTCTAGTTGTAATGAGCATACAAAGATATTCTGTGTGAAGTTAACTCTTTCTCCATACACATACTATGTACACACACACATTCAGGCACACAGATACACACACAAAAACACACACACTCACAGTCGCAAACATACATGGACACACAAACACACACACTCACAAACATACATGGACACACAAACACAAACACACACATACTCACTACCTCATACACATACACACGTCATTTACTACTCGAGTTGATACACCAGACTCGAGTTGATACACCAGATCCATAAGGACTAGACTGACCAGTGTGGGTGCATTGCTGTCTGGCCAGAAAGCCTCAGGGATGGGCCAGTGTCCCATGGGAATGCCTGTCTTTGGGTTGGGCCGTACGTAGATGAGTTTGTGGCAGCTGTGCCAGGCTGTGTTGGTGGGGAGGGGGGAGGGTGCGTTGGCACGCTGGAGACTCTTGTTGTTCTCCTGCAAATCTGGACAGAAACACAGGAAAATTAGGGCTCCAAATACCACCTGGTTAGTGCAGGTAAAATTGGAGCTGTGCAGGTATTTCACCTGTCTATGTACTGGGTTCATACATGTGTATGTGGATTTACATTGACTGTCACCACCTATGAAATATACATAAGGAAATAACAGAAATGGTTTCTGAACTTCCTAAGTTATGAGCAGAACAGGTAAAATGTGTCTGGGGCAGGTAATTTTTTTTTGTGTTACCAGCACCAGTGCAGGTATGCAGAAACAAGGATTTTGAGTCCTGTATAAAAAACACACTAAAAAGAAAAATCCACATACACCTACATTTGTGTATAAAAACCCAGTGCACGGACCAGTGCAGGTAGACATCAGAAATACCTGCACAACCCTAATTCTACATGCACTAAGGTACATACATTGTATGCACCCAGGATTTCAAGCCCTATCATTTGCAAGCAAAATGTTACAGATTGAACTTTGAAGGTTTCTTACCTTTCTCAGCCCTCAGGTGTGTCAAGTCTGCACTGATGATTCCATTCATGGTTCCTTCTGTCTCTGTATGGTTCTGTCCATTACCTAGTATAAAACGTACAAGCAAAAAATTATTCATAATGTATAATTTGTACAACTGTAGTTTTAGAAAATAAAAATATGTGTCAATGTTCCATTTTTTGGGTCACCGTAACATGTCATGTTATGTTCTCGCTATGCCAATATTGGCCACTAAACATTCCTTTTTTTTCTTATTTCGAAATGCAAGTTGATTTTTAGATAATTCAATCACTGTTAAGTGCTTGTGGCAGTGAGAAAGAGAAGAGACCAATAAACTAAATACTAGTTAAACACATTTTCCCTTCTTCCAATTGGACCCAAATATGACTTACTACAGGTAAAAGAAAAGGATAAATAGTAAATGGATACTGAGTAAAAGGAAGATGTTGAAAAAATAAACTGGCAGTTACGTGACATACATGTATAAAACTTCTGAGAGTTTCTCACACATTTCCAAAAATAACCCTTAAGTAAGGTAAGCTCTAATCTGGGAAAATCCTGTGTCAGCACACTGTATGTATAAAGCACATCTGATAACACAAAGTGCACTTGGGCTTGCTCCAAATGATGGGCGACGCAATAAAGCTCCTTCAGGCAAGATGACAAATCTTTAAGGAATGTTGACAGGATGAGTTCCTTGTCAAGACTTCTTGGTGTGCGGCTTTCTCGAGCGTAAAAGGAAGATGATGATAAATCGTGAGTTAAAACATAGTTCCTGAAGGAAATATTGATTATGACGCAGCATAAGTTTTGAGTGAGATTACTGCCAAAGTTTCTGTGCATGGCTAGAACTGTGGAGGCACAGCTAATGTATCAGAACTTATTATTATTCTGAAACCTCAAGCTGTTCTTCAATCAGAATCAGTTGGTTGTCCATTCATGAGCTTTAAACTGAAGTACGGATGGGGTAGACAGGAAATTTAGAACCGAACACTGTACGCAAAGCAAATGAAAGATAATCTCTGACGCGTTTTGTTACATGTATTACGCTTTACAAATGACACAACAGGGGGCTGACATTGTATACGAGTACACAGCGTAGGTGGACAGGAAATTGTCTACAATTTACAGGATTATCTTACCGTTAACATGTCACGAGTGCAACCTGTCTAGGGAACGTTATGTATTGGCTATTTTTCTTATTATGCTATTGTCACTGCAAACACAAAATAATCAACCAGGTACTTTGATCGCATGCGTCCTATTTTTTGTAATTTTAGGAAAATTTTTTAATTTATACTTATTGCATTTTGAGAGGCAAATTCCACCTTAACAAAACCATTCATCGATGTATAATTAATTGTGTATGGCCAGCATCTGTCTTTCCATCATTTCACAGAATTTTTGCTGCTCATGACAGACAAAAATTTTGCACAATCTGTCATCTCTGATGGAAGAAGATTGTAAAGATATGGACAGAGATGTCATTAAGCTTAGTCTGACAGCAAAATTTAGCCCCTCAAAATGCAGGAAATACCGGTAGCATTTTAGAGGGTCAAGGTTTCAATATATTCCTAGGGCAGTATGCCTCTTGACCCACAATTTACATCAAACAAAAAAATTTCAAGCTGGCCAGAATAAAGGTGTATGGAAAGACAGAAGAAAGTGAGATTGGTGTGTTTACCATTGGGATCTGGATCAGGACCGATCTTCTCAAAATGCAGCACCACACCGCTCTGTACCTTCATGGACAGGGAGTCCAGACACTGGTGCAAGGTCTTCTGAGATGCCACGGTGTAGGAACGGCCTGGACAACAAAACAGCGGGACGAAAATAGTGAGACTTTTCAACAATGTTAACCTTCCAGATGCTTAAGTTGCATCAAATCCGTACTAGTACATTGTTAGTCTTAGCAATAAATCATGGTGAACCATTGTATTTTCTAGAATGGCAAAAATTGATTGCTTCTTCAAATTGAAAAAAGTAACAATATGTATATGGCTTTCAAACTGGAATCACCCAAAGTTTCTACAGTGAAATAACATCTCATTGCAATATTTGATCTTCAGACAACGGATCGAAAAGCTTATGACCTTGTCAGCATACCAATTTATTGGCAAAAAAAGAGAATAAGTTGGAAAACTGCAAACACAACATTTTTTCCTAGGCCTTGGCAACAGCATCAGTGAAGCCAGATGTCCTACACTACTTTTACAAGGGTCACTGACGACATTACAATCAAAATTGCAGGCACGCTGTCATTGAAAGACAGACAAGAAGAATACAGCACATGTTTCAAGCAGCAATTAGCATTGCCAAGGACTACACATCCTTTGTGTTTGTGGCTCTGAATTGGTATGGGATTCTCTCATTAGATATAATCATGCTCTCAGTCCCACCTGAAAACCAATTTAGAATCGAACCGTGGCATAAACAACGAGTGTAGTAAAGAATGTGTCACGTCATGTACCATTCAAAGTATTCAATATTTTCCATGTTGAAGTGAAAAGAAGCCTAACCCTTCACTGAAGGAGACAGAGAAACTAAAGTGAAAGGAGAGATTTTTTAAGGCTTTTGCAGCTTGTTGCTTGATGCTGTAGCTGGCTAAGTTTCTGACACATCAAATCATTTCTAAAAAGTCTATATTAAATCATAGTCTATATTTTTTATGTCATCAAAAGATGTTCTATTGTAGCAAAATTTACCCACTTAATTTTAGATTGTACAAAAATAGAATCAGTGATATAATTATAAGCAACACAATGTACATTTGTACAGTAGGGGACAAAAATGTCATTTGGAAACAACTTGGAATCAAATTCTTAACAACATTATCCTAAAGTAATAGTACAGCTCCAGATGTCTTATTGAGTAACAACTGTGGTGTGCTAGACATTGGTTAGCTTGAGGAGTGAATCCACTATACTACTAGTATACACAACATTGTCCTAGGGAAGGTAGATCACGATGAGTGATGTAATCTTCTTGACTGCTGTGCACATGAAGGGTTTACTTCAAAGAGCATTTTGAAGGGCTATAACTACACTAATGGGAATAAAACGCCCACATAATCATGAATCCGCAAGGTTAACAACCGTATATTGTACAATCAAGAACAGCATCAACAAGGTGAATCTGATGCTGGAATATGTCGCTTGACAGCATTTCAGAACAGCACTTTTGGAGAGCACTTCTAAAGTACATGTATAAGATTATCTTACACAGAACAGGGATCTCTCCACTCACCACCTGTGATTTCACACAGAACAGAGATCCTCCACTCCCCACTGTGATTTCACACAGAACAGAGATCTCTCCACTCACCTCCTGTGATCTCACACACAACAGAGATTTTTCCACTCACCACCTGTGATTTCACACAGAACAGAGATTTTTCCACTCACCTCCTGTGATCTCACACAGAACAGAGATCTCTCCACTCACCTCCTGTGATCTCACACAGAACAGGAATCCCTCCACTCCCCACTGTGATCTCACACAGAACAGAGATTTTTCTACTCACCTCCTGTGATCTCACACAGAACAGAGATCTCTCCACTCACCACCTGTGATCTCAAACAGAACAGGGATCCCTCCACTCCCCACTGTGATCTCACACAGAACAGAGATCTCTCCACTCACCTCCTGTGATCTCACACAGAACAGAAATCGGTGACTCGTCCATTGGAATGACCCCTTGCGGTGGCTCCTGAACGCGGCAGGCGACCCCCGGGATGCGCAGCACCAGCGAGAACAGCCGCTGGTCCCACCGGAATGGTTCTTTGGTCAGCTCGCCACCGGGCAGCTGGGAGTTCATCGGCAGTGTCAACTGAGACAGGAGGGAAGAGGACATGCCTTTAAGTGCCAGAGTTATCAACCAAGGATTGAGGTAACATAGCCATGCAGCTGCTGCGGCACTGTGTGCCTGTGAAGTCAGTATGTTTCATCAATGTACTATACAGATACAGATGACTGTAAGGTAACAGGTTGGAATCCTACCATCTTCAGTCATCCAAAGCAAGATAAACCACTTAAATTTTTCCTAGAAGTGGTTTATTTCTCAGAGTGGAACTCGCTGCCACCAAGTTCAGTTGGGACATCATAACTAGAGTTACTAGTAGATCTTCAAAGGCTACATGTAGGTGTAACAAAGTCGTTTGGTGTAATGTAACCAGCTGCTGCTACGCCATTTGCCTGCAAACCTGGTGTGTTATATGCCGAGGAGCAGTTATACCGGCTATACAGACAGTACAGTTATACAGAAAAAAGGATTTCAAACCCTGGCAGTACTCTTACCTCCTCTTGTACCCCACTGCTGCTGGTGAGTTTACTGCCGTCTGTGATCGTCACAACCATGGCAGGCTCCAGGAAAAATGGGTTCCTTCCCTACACAAGGACAGATCAAACACAGAACATAGCATGTCACATCACTTTCTAAAAGAGAATGCTATCTTAATGGTTTCTGTAATACATTTTTGTATAGAGATATTTTCAAACATAGGGGTCATCCAATGTACTTATCTGGGATACTGGTGGTGCTTGGTTTCAGAATAGTCGAGTTATATCATCTGTCTCAGTATTTCATTGTTTGTATATAAACTACAAAATCTGTTGTTTCTACAATAAAGTACTGCAAATTGCAAATGTTGGCTTTGATGACTGAATGGTTAGGTTATATATAGACACAGGATTGAGAAGTCACAGTTGGATTCCTGTCATTCCTGGCTGGATGTACATATTGTGTCCTTAAAGGAAAGGCACTTAACATCAATCAACAGGATAGAGGCAAACGACGGGCTGCCAGCAAGCCTCAGCATAATATGCCATTGATGTAACACGTCTAGCCTTCGGAAGACAGGGAACAACAGACACTAAACCTGATATTGAGTGTCACTGACCTGTCCATAGTTGTCGATCCCTGACACGAGCCTGTTCAGGTTGAGCAGGTCGAAGGCCTGTTTGAGAGCCTGTCCCATGGTGGTCATCCCCGTGGCCTGTAGATTCTTCAACTCATTCATGAACGCCACATGATTCTCCTTCCACCCAGCCTGTGTAAAACACGATGAACTTTATCAGAAACTACATCTGTAGCATACATGCAGATCATGACATATCAAAAGTATCATTTTAAGGTCTCATCAAGACCTACCCACCTACCAAATATCAAGACAATCCACATAAGCCTTCTTGAGTTGTGTTCACAGACAGACACATACACACACGGTTCCGAAAAAATAACCTTCTGGACACATCAATATAAAACAAATCATCTTCCATCTCTGCAACTGCATTTGAATAAATACTAGTCAGCATGGAATTTGTCTGATTTATAATTCATAAAGTTAGCACCTAAAAAAAGCTCTTCATTCAATCCATGTAATTTACATAACCTACTTGATGTAACATTCAATCCATGTAACTTACATAACATAACATACCTGATATGACATGCATAACCTTACTCTGAAGTTAATACTAAAGGCAACTAGTTTTGTGTAAAGATTGCATCCCACAGTTATAACATTTGATAAGTAAGCTATAATGTTGAAGATGTAACATTACTAGGATTCTAGTAGGAAACACAGATCTATCGAAATCGCAACATCATTTTAAATCACTAAACCAATCAGTATCTAATGCCATTTTCTAATCTAAAACTGATCACGTACAAATGTAAAACCCCAGACAATTCAGACTCTTCATCATGCCCGAGACTGTTCCCCATAAACATAATATTAATGGTCTGAAAACTCTGTGCATGTAACAGCATGCTTCCATTGAAATTCAATAAGGTATATATGGAGGAAGGGGTCTTCAATGTACATGTACATGTTTGTAAATGTAATTGGGAAATAAACAGTGATTTTCATACTTACTAATTAGAGTTTTAAGGATCAATTGTATTTCTGAGAATTTTGACTGTTAGACATTCAGTGTTTGGCATACAGATATAATCACCATAATAAGGTAAAATGTTATTGTCTGGTGGATATGTTTCAAAAATAACAAGCACCAAGAGATCTTCCAGTAACAATCATTGATTGAACAATGTGTATGAATAATATAGCAGTAAAATTTCCCAATCAATTTTTTTAAAAGTTATGATCAGCAAAGTTTCATCTTCGGATAATTTTCTGTAGCCTTGGCTACTACAATTGAGTGTGTGAGATTTGGTCTGGGGCTTGACGGTAGAATGACCTACAACATGTTTTGATGTAAGTCTGGGGATGGGTAATCTGCACATGAAAAAATTGCGTGTGAAAAATCTGTGTGTAAAAATATGCAAATTAGCTGATTCCGAAGGGATTCAAACTTTCAAACACAAATTTCAGGAAACAGATGGAAAATCATACCACGGGACAACAATTTCCTGCCTAAGAATTTGGTGCATACACCCGGTATTTTCTAACATATTTCAGGGACTTTTCTTTTTCATGTGCAAGTTTTTCACACGCAAAATTTTTTACACACAGAAAATCCATTCCCTAATAGCCTGTAATCCATCTGTGAATGCTGTGTCTCTGCTCCGTTCATCCGCTCTGCCCTCACAGAGCGGAGGAACAGAGCAGAGGAACAGAGCGGAGACACAGCCTTAACAGATGGATTCCAGGCTAATTCCCTAAGTCTGAGGAATCTGAAGACGATCATCTTTAAAATCTTGTACGGAAATTTCAACAAAATTTCTGCAACTTTAACAATCTTTTTATTTGAAATATTTAATTTCTTTTTTTTTTTAATGTCTTCTTCCTGGATAGTGAGTGAGTGTGAGTGCAAAGGATATCTAGTTATAGATCTCATGTTTTGTTATTAAAAATTATAATAAAAAGAATGGTGTTTTCCCAAATCTATCAGGAACAACTAATTTACAAATTGCTACCTAACTCTGAAAAATTCCATGAATGTTATTGGATTGTCAACATTAAATTACCATTATTATTCATGACAATTCAGACAAGAGAATTAAGATTTGTTTGCGAAGTAAAAAAATAAATGTTACAACAATAACATTAGAAACCTTTATTTTCGTCGATAACATAATATTCTAGCACTCCACCGTTGTTGAAAGTGGAATCTGAATAATATTTCAGATAAGAGATCTCAAGACAGTTATTTGAATAATTTATGCAAACTTTCTCATGTGACATGCAAATATTACACCCAGAATGCACTGCAAAGGAGAAGGAATCAAGATGTCGTCGGTGCTGGACGGTCTGTGCCAGGAGAGCTCCAGATTTTCCCGTTGATTCTGACGTCGTTTCCCGCCTGGAAACCCCGTAAGGAGGAGATCTTGCGACTTTCCTGTCTGCGGGACCCTTCTGTGGGGAAACTGGGCGGAGAAGCCTTCCAGAATCGGTAACAAAACTCAAAAGAAACTAACCTTTATGGCGGCCGGAGGGTCTTCAAATGACACCAGCATGTATCGGTCAGCCCTCGAGCCAGGATCCCGCTGGCGCAACTGCAACACAAGTGACAATCGAATTTTACTGTCGAATGAACCTATGGTGGAATAAAAATCAGAAATACGACCAATCACGTCGGTGTTTACCTTTAGAAAGGTTTCCACTGCGCCCTTTGCTACGTCCAGTAGTGTCGTGCCCATGTACGTACGTTGATTCATTGACGCAGATGTGTCTATAACGAAGAGTATGATCGGCATGATTATCAGAGAGTGGGGGAGAAGCCCTAGGGCCCCGATCTACCGCGCCTCTGACTCAGAAATCCACCCTGTTTGCGAGGGGTACGACACAGACCCCTCCTGCTCAAGATGGCTGGCGCCTCTGGCAGGCTGGTTGCTGTTCCTGCTCGAGCACAACACGCCACGACGGGTGGTCACGTGATCCTCCCGCCATCACCGCCCTCATTGGTTAGATCACCGCTACCGTAAAACTGCATGCCTTTGCGTCGCACCCCCGGATTGGCCAAAATACGCCATCTCCTACAAAATGTCGCCGCTACAAACACTCAGAGCAGCCAATTAATACTTTACTGAAGTCTACTTGAAGTTCTGGTGAAATAGGGCAAAACTGGTACCAGTTTTAGTGTAACATATTGTGTAGGATGAATTCAGAAATGTACGGTAAAAATTTGCATACAGACCATAATATGCGAGACTATAAGAACCTTTGTGCCACCATTGTCGTCCTCTTTCGTCCCGATGTGTGCAGCGATGTAAACGTTCTATGAGACTTTGAGACGTCTGCGTGATAATAATTGTGACTTTTACACAACTTTCATGTTTATAATAGCATGCCTCATAGGTAGTTACCCTTGCAAACCTACTGACACTTAAAATATCTCCCTGTTGCTTGACTTTGTGACAGAAATGACACAACTCGATTCATGATTCTGTGAGGAAGTCAATGGGTGTAACCCACTACTTAGCATTTGTTTACAGAGGGCACGTTGCATGCTGATTTACCGGGCTACTGAACACTAGCCAAGGGGCGAATCAGTCCGTCTCAGCGACTGTGTGGACGTACATACCAAGGGCATTATTGTATTATTTCATAGGTTGGGGTACCGCAAGGGTGTTACTACTAACGTTAAGTGCAGTGAGAGTCCAATGATACACAAAGGACAAGTGATTATGAGGAAGTGTCTGCATACGTCATCGCATGGACAAAAATTATATCATTGGTCACAGAAATCACCTCAACGATTTGAACTTCTAATGTTTATCAAACTTAATGGAAAGGGCACAAAAATCTTACGAGAGAGAAAATCAGCTTGCTACCTGATTTCCAAGTTATGAATAATTTGTCAGGAAAGTCGATTATAAAGGTGCTGTCAGTGATAATTTTGGGTTTTCAACAGCAACATACATGCAATGGCATTGGGGGCGTTTCTGACCCAAGGGAGGATGTATTATGTAAATTGTACCAACAAGTTACCATCCTAAAAGTCATAAATGTGATTATAATGCCACATATTGCAGTGCACACTGTTGTTTGCAATTGATTGACAGTCAAAATCTGTACTGTAACTCCAATGCACCTTTTCAAGTCCAATGCACAAGTCCATCTTTAATTCACGGAGAACGAAGTGTCCAGTTTTCAAGTAAATAAGGAGTTCATTATAATGTATAATACATTACAAGTACTAAGTTGTTTTTTTTCTATCTGTACTTGTCCATCTGTGCTTGAAGACTGGCCCTCCCCAGGTCTTGTAACACATAGTCAAACTTGGTCCAGTGACCAAGTCCATAAAACGACCATCGGTTCAAGACGACCGGTTTTTGCCGGTCCCGAATATACTAGTATGCATTTGTGCAATACCCGGTGGCTAGCATTGTGAACTAGCATTGTGAACAGAGTCATCATATTATAACACCTACTAAAACTTAGGTCAGTGCTACCCATATTTACATAGTGCTGCTTGTCCCCCAGGCTGTGCCAACATTGCCAGAACTACAGAGAAAACCTCACGATCACAGGATCAATAGTAGTTGTTTACTCTTGCATGTGTGTATACTGTACCTGCCAATCTTCTTGAGCATGGGTGATTCTGAGTTGACCATTTAACCCTGGTTGAGCAGTGTGAACCGCGAAAACAAAGCATAAAACAACATTGGTGTTGTTATGTTTGGACAACATGAAGAGATAAACATTGCACCACTGGGCACGGTTCCTGTATTTCACAGCAAGTGGGAAGTTCTAGTGCTGAGAGGCATTGCACAGCAAGTTTTAACATTGATTTTAGCCTCGAGGCTTAAGTATTTCTTTAAGTTTGAACTTGGCTGGTTCTTTGACAGTAGTACATACCATTTCAGAAATGTAGTTTTGGAAGAGGAATGCAGACAGGGCTATACCAAATTCCCTGGGCTTGATCAGTGCTGGCTATTAGATTGAAACAGGTTGTTGATTTGACCCGGCCATTGAAGAACCTTTCTAGCTGTGATAACAATGTTCATGCCAAACATGACCTGGCAGGCCCTGCAGCTAGTTAGCCAAATTCAGACCTCAACCATGTGCATCAGGTGTCCCAAAATGTCAGCAACCCAGATAACTACAGGATCTGCTTTACTCTGTAATTGTAACCATCCAGCTCAAGGTACAGGAACAGCACTCTCCATTTAGCGTTCTATTCAACCCTCCCAGTTCAAGGGCATTACAATCAACTCATGAGTCGCTTTACAGTGTCATTGAAAAGTATTAGTGTATTCCTCAAATGTCTTCAAGGTGACGTCAAGGTCAGTTAGTATGGATGACTGACAGTGTGGGGTGAACAGTACAATTTGTGCTGATCAGTACTGTAAATGTTGACATATTTGCTGTACTAGTGGTTTTAAGTGAAATCATTACAACAGTAAAGTTAGAGTGAACAGTACAGATTCTCTGTCAGCAATACTATAAAGTACACTCACGTACAGCGAACATCAAACACTGCGAATGCCTCCTTTTTCCCCCTGCGGCAAAATCAGTACCTTCAGACTTTATTTAACAAATTTACAGTATGGTGTAATTCAGATTTATGAGTGTAAGTGTCACAAAATTATTCTAAAATGTCAGGTAATTTGCATATGTATGGAGGAGGGGCTGTCTGGGCCAACCCTGAGAATGCCATTTTCCAAAAATATTCAAAATACCTGTACAATCATGGCTTGTGGAGTTGTTGTTTTTTTGTCCCCAAAAATAGCCTTGTATGTACCTGTCATTGAGTATCTAAGAACTCTAAAGCATCGGCAAAGGGCACCTTGTCTAATTAATGGTATATGTGCCATGATTTTAGTATCTCTGTCAACATAGTCCATCAATTTAAGGAATTGGCTTCAGGAAAAGGAATTGGACTCCATCCCAGTAGTTATTAGTCAGGACAAATGTAAGTCATACATACAAGGCAGGGAATATATCATTATGTACCTGTTCGAATACATGTAGATATTACCCGGCACTATATGTTCTGCATCACAATATTGTTTGTCACACATGTATGTATGACATATACCAATGTAGTGCCTATGTCCTCGCTGAGCCACACACGTGCACACATACACAAACACACATCAACCCATACATACATACATGTACATAGTATATCCATACAATTTACTGATGTCAAATTATAGACATACCAGAAATTAGCCTGATGTTCTTTACGATTTTCCTGCTGAAGTACAATATTGCCACAAACTATGATGCTTGACTAAATTGTATCCCCAAGCAGGGTATACTACATTGTAATTTAGATAATGAATAACTAAGTATAATAATATGCATCTCAATGATCAAAGCATTTTCAAATCATCCTCTGAAGACACTGCCTAAAACAGGATAATGTTGATATGCTGACCCTGATGTACACATGTCAAATACAAGATGGATTGGCACAGCATTAGAGGGCTATAATCACAGCTGGACACATTAATGTATGTCAGAGGGGGATGGAAATGCATTAGAGTCTTTGGACTCATCCATTTTGTAAAGTGGCCGAGGGCAACACTTCTAAATGTAATCAGCTCACAGGGCAGGCCTGGTCTGGCTTTTCTCAAGAGCATGGATGGCCAGTCAGGGCTCAAAATACTTTTTCCTGCATTTACTGAAAATAACCTGCATCAGACAAATTTTGCCTGCACCACTCAGACTTTAGGAAGCATGTGGATCATACTAATATTGTTCAGAAACCAACGCTGTTATTTCTTTAAATTTATACTTCTTACCAGTACTATAAGATGGTAACACTAACAGTCAATGCAACATGTAAAAATCCACATACATACACCTATATTTTTAGAGAAACCTGGTACATGCACCAGTGCAGATTTGGTGCAGGTATAGACATCAGAAATACCTGTGCAGCACCAATTTTACTTTCACAGTATTTCAAGCCCAGTCAGTCTATCATACTGTCATCATGCCAAAAATGGTTCTACAGTTTTAGAAAAAATACATGTATAATAGGAAGTTGTGATCTATGTATGTTTGAGACTAAAGGATCAATGCTACTGGTATATTTCTTCGAGTTTTTTGCATCTTATTTCCGCACAAAAATCCATAATTTGGACATCAGTGTATAGGAGCAAGATGCAACTTGTCCCATTTTTGTAATCTGGGAATAGTGTTATTATAAAACATTAGCTCAATCTGTTGTGTATTTTGGTTTTATACCCTGCCTCTTTTCTAGAATTTAAATGTACAAAAGAACATATGATACATTGTGTAAGTACTAGTGAGTGCCAGAGATGAATCATTATTTGTGAATATAGTTTTATTCCTAAAAATCCTTTGACAAAAATATCATGATTTGATATCAAAATTGCTTATTCGCCTGGATCTACCTGGTAAATGCAGGCTAGGACTTGTATCCCAATGATTAATCCATTTCCACCTGAAAGACCAAACTGAAAACCTCCCTAAAAACCCCTGTGAATGCTTTCCTTAGGTTTGGCCATGCAAATCTAAGCCCTATACACAAATTCACTTTTTAGTGCCCATGCTTCTACCCGACTACACCTGGAGGCATACCTTGTTGCATTCGGTATTCCCCCGCCGTATCCCAGCCCTACCCGACTGTGAGATAACATAGCGTCTACACAGGCAGAGCTTCTGATATTGATAGGCTGTTCTGCACGAAACATAAATCGTATATAAGGAACGTTTCGCATCAATCTGACTCACGGCTAATGCTGATATCTGGAGTAGCACACCCCTTGCAGTATTGTAGCTCATAATGACTGCGTAACTGTTGGAATTATAATCGCATCTCCTTATTTCGTGGGGACTGGAATCATGCCAACATTTCTAGCCAACCCACAATATCAATCTTGTTTTGAACTGATTTATTTTGAAGTTGAATAAAGCACACTAAGGACCTTTTTCAACGAAAAGGGAGAGAGAATGGGGGAAAAAAGGGGAAACAAACCTTCCTGCAGACTGACTCTCCTGGCCAATTATTCTTCTCTTTTCTCCCAAATTCTATGATCCTTACCCTGTAGGAAGGCCTGGTGGAGGCTAGAACATAGGGTTCTCCCCAAAGTGTAACTACCTGTACATTGTAAATCTTTCCCCTCTCTCCCACCAAGATTCTAAAAGGATATTCAATCTTAGGTCTGTTACATTTCTTGAAGGTTATTCCCAAAGCTTGCACTGAACACTTGAAGCTACAGGGTAATTAAGGAAACCAATATATAAGTGATTGGGAAGTGTCACTAGGAGATATGCTTCAATGGCCGTAAATTGTTCAACTATATAGTCATCCATCAAATCCACATCTCAAACTCTGATGAAAGTTATGCCAAAAAAAACAGTCAAGATAAAATATAAAACTAGATAAGATTCTAGTATAGCCTCCACCGGGCCTTCCTAGGGGGTACGGATTGTTGAATTCAGGTAAAAAAGGGAAGAATAGTTGGCCAGGAGAGTCAGTCCACGGAAGGGTTAATTTTCCGCAAATGAATTCATGGCTAAACCAATTCTTGCCCCTGTATTTGGCAAAATTTTACATAAATATAAATGTTCTGTTTGATAGAGACTAAAAGGGTACCTACATGTGTAATCAGACACCCTTGTTCAGATACCCTTACCCTGTTGCTTGAGTAACTGACTGTTTTTTGGTGTATCTTAATACCTGGATGTCTGATGAAAGTTCATTCTGTTGCCTGATAAATTCATATATTTCAACTGCATGTCATATCTCCTTTCTTTTAAACCTAACACTACCAGGAAGCAAGTAGACTACAATAATCAAATACAGTATAGACGACACTCGACACATACTTATCATGCAAACAAAGCAGTTTCATTAAAGGTATGTCATTAATCATATATCTAGAGTGGATGTGTAAGATGCAATTAAAGGGGGCACAAAGCAATTCTGATTGCTTAACTGCTCCAGATACATCACAAGTCATCTGTTTTTCTTGGAAAAGTTTATTGCTCAGAATTTCATTTGGGTTCCTGTCACAGCAAAACATAACAACTGTTACTTGATTTTGTAGGCACCAAATTTTAAGACCAATTCATATTTATGACCAATTTATTCCTGATGTTGAAAGAATGTCAAACACTTGAAGAAATTTCTCATGTGGGATATGTATTTCAAAGTTAGAATACCACTTCCACAGCTCAAAATCCTTTTTTTCTGCATACTTCAACTGGTGCAGGTAACATAGAAAATTACAGGCACCAGACAAATTTTACCTGCACCACTCAGAATTTAGAAAGTATGGATCATACTAAAAACTGCTGTTTCTTTTATACTTCGTAGGAGATAACAGTGAATGCAGCAAATAAAAATCAATGTACACCTACTTGTATTAACCCAGTGCATGGACTGGTGTAGGTTAGGTGCAGGTAGAAATACCTGCACAGCCCCAACTTTACCTGCACTAACCTGCATATGCAGGTGGTACTTCAAGCCTTGACTTCACATTTATCTTACATATGGGTTACCTATGGAGACAGGACTACTTTGACGTTCCTGTCAAACCAGTCATCACAGTCTTCTTTTTCTTTTTGAAGACCATTTTTCTCTTGTTGGACTCCTTTTCTTGCATAGACTGAGTCCTCTTCACACACAGAGCCTGGAAGCCACCCTCCTCTCCTTCTTCTTCCTCTTCAGCCAAGACGATTTCCCTCTTTCTTTTCTTTTTCCTTTTTGATTTCTTCTCAGATGTCTTCTCTGGACCTCCCGTTTCTCGTTGAACCTCCTGGTTTTCCTCTGATATCAAAGAAATGAAATCTTCACTCATCTCACTTTTTGAAGCATCCTTGGGAACAGACTTCTGAGTTTTAACACTACTACAACCATCCTTTTCATCTGTGTCTTCTTCATCAGAACTTCCTGTTTCCTCCTCTTCTTTGCCTGCTCCTCCTGGTACATTCAGCCAGGAGATTTTGATGGGTGGTGTCCGTGCCGTCACAAACTCAACCAGGGGATCGAAAGTTTTGTTATCTTCTGTTGATGTTTTCTGAGGGAAGAAAAGATGACACCTTATTGATACTGTTTGCTCAGATCAAGATTAGATCAAGATTAAATCAGATTACAAATTCTTTGATTAGACCATTCCATAAATTCATTACCATTTTTGTGAATGAGAAAAATGTACTTGGCTTTCTGGTCAAATCCATGCAATTGACACTGAGCCTTTACAGGTAAAATACAGTTGAATTTTGTACATGTACATCTATTGCTTGTCCTGTACTGTAAAACTTACAAAAATAATTGAGATTTTAGAAAGTTATCAGCTTAAAATGACACACTTCCTAATCAAATTTATGCAGAAAGTCAGTTTACCACACCAACCTTGAAGCCCATAGCAGCAACGGTTCTGAAGTTGAGAATGGGAGCCACTGTTTCGCTCAGTCCAGACAGGCACAGTGCAGGGACGCAGCGGACAGCACTCAGCAGGAACAGGTGCTGTGTCATCAGGGCTGGCTTCACAGATCGACACACCAGGACCAGTCGTAACCGGTCCTTCTCCAGGGCCTTGGTCACCTCATTGATGCCCAAAACCAGCTGGGACCTGAAGACCATTATTTCAATTAAAGGCATCAAATGAAATTTCAGGGCAGCAATGCAAAAGATATTCTGGATTAGAAAATCTGTCTTATATTGACATTTAACAACATTTCTTACAACATCTTTGTCATAAATTCATACTTTAAGCATTTGAAAAAAAAAACTTTGTGAGCTGTCTATTTTTGGGGTAACACCCAGTTATTGGCTGTCATAGACTGTTTAGAAATAAAGCACACACACACATGAAAATCGTGCAATGACCTACAAGAAATGTATGGATACACTCACTTCAACTGTCTTGCCAGCTCTTGTTCCTCCACACTGCGTGCAAGCTTCCCAGCATCCTCTGCAGTCTTTGCCCGTTTCCGTTTTCCCTTCGAGGTCTCCTTTCTGAGATAAGTGCTGACGGCACCCAGGTCACTGAGGGTGAGACCATTCAAAGACTTCAGGGGATGACCATACTCATAGACAATTCAAACTCTTACTCAGTAAAACACAGAGATAACTTCCGGATGTTTTCAAGCGACATCCATCACTCTTCTTCAGCGTCACTAGAATGAACTGACTGAGGTAGCCAACACTTACTACACGTAGTATGTGTAAAGAACAAGAAAACTTAGTGGAATATGACAAGGTCAGTCTTATGTCACTGATATGTAAATTGATTTAAGATTATACGTAGAGATGAAAAAGAGTAAAAACATGGCTGCCTATGATTGGGAGAGTTTCAGATACTACATGTATGTGTTCCTTCTGCAAATTATTTTTGGGCAGATTTCCTTACTTGCTAATGTAATTATCCTTGCACCTTCTAACAAGTGAAGCCTACTACTCATAGTTAAGCCAAGATTTCAAGAAGTCTTTGAAGTATGACTCTACTCAATTGTCGAAGTTACAGTTTATTTGTATTCGTACTCGTCTACCTGACACTAAGGTTACCGTTTCCTCATGACACCACAATGTCAAGTTGTAACGTTTTATTTTACAGCCCAAAGACAGACATTTTCTACAATACAGTTTTGTCAAATATTACAATGTTATGTTACAAGGTCAACTGAAGTTAGGGTCGTCATTGACTACGATGGACGAACATCATCACAATGTTATGTGTATGCCCATTAGTTGATACTCTGAAATATACTTTTCTTGTCATTATCTTAAGCCAGAAACTGATCACTGACTTAGGAGTACATTTAGCACCTGTTATGTCAACAGCAACAGTCCAATTAAGCTTGACTTATCACAGAACAAGATCATCTTCTCAATGAAAGTTCTAAATTCATACCTTTCCGAGTTACCATGTTACTTTTTTGGGGTTTAGTTCGATACATGAAACACACTGAGCTGTCACTCTTGATGATGTATAACAGAAAAAAAGAGCTAACATAAAGTGAAAGCTTGAATGATGTTACACTTGCTATGCCTGAAATTTATTGCTACATTACTATATACATACATAGATACATCTAACAACATGTGTCATGTTTGTTTGCAAAGATGTCATGTAAAGACAATGAACTAGACTAGTCAAAGATCTTTCTCCACAACAAACTACACAAAGTAGTTGTCCACTCATATGGCTTCTTTCAACCTACATGCACTATCTTCCTTCACTCATAATTATGGAGGATTTACCACTACCAGTAAAAACTTAACCTAGCAGTCATGTCTTTTACTTTGCTATTTTTACTGTGTTTTTGGAACACATGGGAACAATTCACTCACTTCATTCAAGTCTTAATAATAGTGTTACCGACTTCTACAACTGATATGTTATCACAAGAGAAACTCTATTCTAAGACAGACTAGTCTAGTGATCTTTTCAAGACTAGGTCTGGAATTTCAGACCCCAAAAAAAAACTAGGGTACATGTAGGTAGGTAGGGATTTTCTTCTTTTCAAAATTTTTTTACCTATAATGTTATATTTCAAATTCACAGGGTTTGATATCGAAACTTCATAGCGTTTCCAGTCAGCTAGGGTCGGCCCAGCCATTTTTTTGCTACGGTCGGTCGAAAAAAAAACAGAAACTGGAAACACAGCATTTTTTTGAGCGGTAAATGTAGCAGAACATTCCAGGCCGGCTACAAAACCATTGGTTCTTAACCCCAGATGTCCCTGAATGCCTGTTCTTCTGGCATGTCCTGCAGACCTTGTAGCTCTTTCAGCCCTTCGATCACCAACCGAATATGGGCCTTGATTCTTCCAGAATCCTTTGTCAGCCGCTCCGCATGTTCAGTCAGGTGTTCGATTTTCTTGTCGATAAACTTCAGTGCCTCGCTGTGCGTGAATTCCACGTAGAATCCGAATCCCACCGCGACAAAGATCTTACTGACGTCCGGAACTTTCGCCTGTACGTAGAAGTTGCACCCCAAATCTACTTTAGTCCTCAACTCTCCTTTGGGGAAATCCACTTCTTGCATTCGCTCAATGTTCGTCTTGAGTTGAAGATATTCCGACATCTTGGCGTAAATTTCGTCACGATTGTCCAAAGTCTTTTGCAGGTCGACCTTGAGTCGTTCGTTCAGGAATTTCTCGTATTCTGTGACTTTTTGTTCTATTTCTGCAGTACCGGGATCCAACTCCATATTTCTTGGAATATCAAATACTGATCAGACCTTGAAAAAGTTGCTATGTGGACTGTTCAGTTAATGTCATACCAACCTTTTCAGTTTGCTGAGAATTTCTGGAGTGACGCCCTTCTCGAGAGTTGGCCTTGAAATGACAATAGAGTACAGTATGTCATAATGTTATCTCAATGTTGCAATAATTTTAAAGCTAACACAAATACAGTGTATTTGCTCATACGTATGACACATATTATGTAACGTCTTCTTTCAAATTTTTTTCATAATTCTTTTCATGATTTCAAACGACAAACGATTTTTACAGTCCTGAGGGAAAATCTTGTTCCATTACATTTGTCTGGGTATTTTACCCAAATTAGCACTTCTGTTAAAACTTATTATATTTTCTCAAGAAAAAAGTCCTGCAAGCAAAAAATACCCCCCCCCCACACACACACACACAGCACATGCATCCAAAAAAGGGTTACGACAAAAAGTAGTTTTGTGGGAAAACCACGACATACACGTCAAATATCTGTTTACTACTCCCTTCTTTACATGTTTATGATTCATATGACTTACCATGTGCGCTGATACGGGGAGTCTAATAGGTTCTTGGAGACGCGTTTTGGAGTGAAAGTTCTGACGGACCCTTCCAACACTGGTGCCGCCATGACTGTACCATTATTTGAGGAAGAAGGGTGTGAAAATTATTTGGACTGAGTATTTCGCACAGTATCATCCAACATCCTGCCTTATTAATTACAAAATATCACACTATAAAATTGAGCTCTTTTACGGCCAATTATATCGTTGTTTCTGACAGGTACTAATTAGTAATTTTTTTAATGGATTAAGCACCCCTTTAGCAGTAGTGGCATAAGCTAAAAAGGTCAAAGGGTAAAAAACCGCGGGAAAATTTGGTGGGTTATTTTCGCGACTCCTTGTCGGCCACAAAAACATCACACTGTAGAAACTTTCACGCCGTATACAGACAAAAATTGTAGAAAAACTTGAAGAAGAAGATGCCTCCAAGGAGAGAAAGTGGTGTGAAAGGGAAAGGATCCAGTAGCGAGGAGACAGACCAGTGGGTCGTGGTACTGCCAGGTCAGTCGCCCCCCTCCCCAAATCTACTAGCCTTGTACTAGAATTACTAGAAATAGAATTTGGCCATCTAAGAAGTAAAACATCAAGCTATTAGATAGTTGTTAGGGATTGAAGAGATCAATAGTATTCAAATGAAGTAAAGTAAGTAAGGTTGCCGAAAGCAGTGCACAACTATTTACAAAGTCTAATTATATAGCCTCTGATCCTTGGATGTGCCAAGGAGTATAACCTCCTTGGATATACATAGTGATCATGAGATACTACATACATCGCTAGAATCCTTTAAGGATAAAAACTGTCAAATTATTGCAGATTCAGTTGCTGAAAAACAAGATGAGGACGAGGATAGACCGACATTTGTCAAACTTCTGCATCCCAAAACAGGTTTGAGTTTTTAAATCTTTTATTATATTTTTTAAAAGATAATTATGACTTATAAATGTAAAACTGATGATACAATATCATAATCTCAAGATTTCCACTAGTGTTCGGGAGGCCAAATTGGTAAATGTGTGATTGGAGCTTTAATGAGTACCATGTTTCTGTCTTCCAGAAAAAGGTGCCATGTTCCTGTTTTCCAAGGATAACCAGCAGGTCCTGGAAGTCTTGGCTTTCCAGGAAGAATTCCGATCCTGGTTTGTGGGTGAATCTGTCCAACAAGGTAAAATTACACTGTGCATCATCTTAACTTCACAATTTTTTACATAGTAGTAGCCAGTCTTTGATTAAACTGCTGACACAGAGGCGGGCAACAGTAGTCTTCACACCACACCTCCAACGTCCAAGCAGCTCTGTCCAGCAGGTCTACACTAGCAAGGCCTTACTTTCTTATGTCCTTAGGCTTAAGAATATTTTCTTAATGATGTGTTTGCTAAAAGAATGTTTGCAGCATACTTTCTATGCAATGATTTAGGCATGAAATGCAGGTGACCATTCCATAGTATTTTGGATGAATTTTAAGATGTTGATTTTGTTATGACATGAAGTTCTATCTGTCTTGATGTTTCAGATGGAAGTTTGCACATGGTGACGCCAGTTGACCCCCTGTTTTTGGTCTTACCTTATTTAGTAAAAGCATATGAGGTAAGCTCAATAGTCTTTTCTAGTCGATGCTTAACTACATGGTCATTACTAGTCATTACATATCACAGTATACATGTATGTAGGGTTGGAAATACCTTTTTTTTGAAGTTCACAGTGGCTCAGCTGGTGGCTTCTGAAATAAACTGTGTCCTACCTCTGCCAGCATGTGAGCAATACTTTACAGGTGGCCCAGCTTACGGCTTGCCTTTAAAGAAACAGCGGATGTTGACAGCACCCTGAAATATTTATGGACAACCTAGCTATAACTGTTTTGGATAAGGTTCCCTGCTGGGCAACCTGTGAATAAAAGTATTTCGAATCTTTGTATGTCTGTATAGATGTCTGTTTTTACAATTCATGTGCTACACAGTTTTTTCCATGTTTAATGTAATTGATCAAAATAAAATTTTTACCCATACTACATGATATAGAAGCCATGATGTGAGAATGTTTTTGTGATTGTAATTTTCATAATCTGATTTCATTTCAGAGTGGGATGTACATGCCCATAGACCAACTTGTGTCAGATGGCCAGTACCCAGAATGCACCAGGTTGCTGAGCTGCATCCAACTGTCTGACCTGGAGCACATCTGTGATGTCAAAGGTCAGAGAACCCAAAATACTGTTAAGTTTATTATCACATCCTATCCCTTTCCTCATGTTACATTTGTACATGTAAACCTGATATCTGTGTGGCATGTAACTAGTGGATGTACCAACTACTAAGTACCTGATACCAGCATAAAAGAACAAGAAATTGTCATGCCTTCAAGTACCAGAGTTGAGTTGTTAAAAAACATTGATTTTCCTGGAACTATTGTAGAGTGGAACTAGCTGTCACCAAGTACAGTCAGGGCATAATCACTGTAAGCTTTAAACAATGCTTTAATGTACAAAGATTAGGTGTAATATGCTATATGTTCCTTTACTTAACACTTTTTTTTTATCATAGGGTCAGGTGATGTGAGGGCCTGTCGTTACAATAAGGAGCGGACACTAGAATGGTTAAAGCAGAAGGCAAGTACTTGAACTTAACTTGTTAAGTCTTTATGAGTTTTGAAAGGTACAGATATTGTTCTATATTAGCAACTGTGCATATTATACTATTCCATTGCCAGTATAGCTTGATTGTATGTAAATTGTCTTTATATAAGCTTATGTATTTACTGCTGATTTAAATAGCTACAGATGAATGTTATGAGTGCCATGTACCCACTAGCCCCATCTGGCAATGTTTTGTTGAACTGCATCTGAGAAGCAGCATTTAGATACAATGTACATTGAGTAACATTACATCTCACAATGCTTTCTGTCCAGAGTTGTTCTGACAGATGGGCAAACTCGCTTCACACAGTACTAGAATTAAGAAAAATGCTTTTATTTGTCCATGTAGGTGGAGCAGGTAGCAGACAAGCTGACAGACAGCAGTGTCAGGGTGACAGGAGGGGCACAGCTACTCACATTCACTCACAGCCTGAAATCTGAGCAAGCTTCCAGAGGTGAAATGAAGTTTTGGTTGTATATACATGTATCTATGACAGAAAAAAGATCATGTTCACACATATAGCCAGTGCATATTCACCTAATTGCAGGTCAAACTGGGGCTCTGCAGGTATTTCTGATGTACATGTATACCAGCACCTAAACTGGTCCATGCTAGGTTCATAGATACATGTACTAGGTGTATCTGGATTTTTATCTGCAACATTAACTGTTACCACCTATGAAGTATAAAGGAAATAAATGGTAAAGGTTTCTGAACAGTTTTTAGTATGTCCCATACTTCCTAAATTCTGAGTGGTGCAGGTACTATCTTGGATCTCTTATTACTAAAATGTTGTTTGGTTCTTTTGTTTTAGATACCCGTTACCTGTAATGTAGTAATGCACATTATGTAGTTACCAGATTTCCCTGTGTTTGTTGCACACAGATGACTACCTGCGATATGCCTGCGGGTTGGTGTCAGATTACATCAGTACAGACCTCAGTAAGGAGCTAACTCAACACATGGGGTAAGTTCAGAACTTTCACTACTCGTTTCACCACTCAGGACTTTTCAGCATGTAGGTTCTCCTCTAGTTCACATTGTCAAACCGTTCAAATTCTTGTTTCAAACTCCTTCTACAGCAATAGTTTCTTTCCCCAGACTATAAAATTAAGGAACTCCCTCCTATGCTTCCCTGATTAATGTCATGTTCTTGTCTTTACTTGCACTTCTTTTGAAATAAGAGCATCTTGGTTTGTTCTTTCCTCTTTTACAGAATCAAAATTCCTGAGAAGAAAGAAGTGAATTGTGCTGAGCCTCCTGCAAAGGTGATCATTTCATACTTTTCCTTAGCCGTCATTTCTAAGGTAAGAAAAAAGCTCTTAGGGTGTGACCAAAAACCATGACATCTTTATCTGTGTAACCTTTCCTCCTAGCATGGCTACAGGCTTTCAACAATTCAGTACTACATGTACATTTGAATTTTATGCACCACCTAAGTAACCCAACAAGAATTTCTTCCAGAAATAATTTTTATCATGTTGGTAGGACATAGTGATGGATGTTTCTCACCTACTTGATTAAGTTTTGATGCCAGTCAGACATCTTCCTCAGAGCTTCTGACTGGAGTACTGCTTCTTGCTGCTATATGTAGCCAATGTAGTTTTTGTGTTGTGGTGATGAGAACACAATACCAAACATCAAAACGTAAGCAGGTGAGAAACATTACCAGTTGTGTAAGAAGAAAATCCCTACATCCAACGTGGATTTCTGTTTTGCAGAAAGCTAAACTGTCTGAGATTCCAGAAGCGACTGAAGACTACAGCAAGTTTGCTGTGAAGGATGAGAAACCTAAGGTGATGTTTAGTTTTTTATCTGTATGAGGCCACACCAATTAGATTTGTTGGTTCTTGGATTTTTTCAGAAAGAAATGCAATTTGTACAATTCGTAACAAAAAAGTATACTCTCTTATTTTCCTCTTCAGAATACAAAGATGACAGCTGCTCAGAGAGCTCTCAGCAAAGTTGACAAAACAGGCATGAAGAGCATAGCAAGCTTCTTCTCACCAAAGACTGCTGCAAAGAGCAAGAAGAAGTGAAAGAACCAAAGTAGAACATAGCCAGAAAAGCAGTGACTGCTGGGTATATAGTACAGTGTATTTTCAATTACCGGTAGCCATTTGATGTATTTTGTATGGTTGATATTAAAAAAAAAGAAGTATATGAGCTCCGATATTTTCTCCAACAACTGTAACATCGTACATGTACATGTATAACACGAATTTTAGTCATCATTTTTGTTCACACTTTCCTTGACAAAGGTTTGAGAAGTTAACTTGCAAGCTAATATCAATCGATTTTGTACAATGTAGCAATTGAGTTCTGGAGGAAAATGATCTTCCATACAATAAAATGGCATAAAATTTCACATTCGTTTGATGTTTGTCAGCTAGGGTAAGGAACAGGTGCACCTACACCATGTGTCAACAGGGGGCATTGTGATACCACTAGGAATACTTCAGGTTAGGTGACGTTAGTATCCTAGATTAGAGAATCATATTTTTATCCACTCAGTATATCTAGGCCCTATTTTCTTTATTTCACTAAGAAACACAACTCAATCAAGTTTACATCTAGTAGAGAGTAACAGTCTAGTTGGGGCAACATTTCTTTTTGGTGGTAGACCTGCAGTACTACCTCGGGACACATGGTGGAGCTTGCTATCAATCCTTCTGACATGTTCAATCATTGAGACTATTTTACAAGTCCTGAACAACATCCTAATTGCAGTTTATACCATTTGTAGCCACAAATATGTCTATAAACATATTATTTTTGATCTAATTGCCAAATTTTAAAAGGACAGGCTTGTGAGGTCTTAATCCAGCCAGTGTGAAATATCAGATCTAGAGCCCATGGGAGGTTCAGCTTTATTTGGGTGGAGTTATGGTCGGTATGTGACACACCAAATATAGAGTCCCGCCTGTGTAAGTTATCCCAACCCGTCACGCAAACATGTCCACAGTAACAACACCATAGAAAAAATTCATACATCGATTGTTTATTATTTTATGCCGACATCTCGTCAATGCATACATTGTGTCTGAGAAAAATGCCTTTTTTTGGGGGATGCTCATTATAGACAACACACACACTGAGAGAATCTAGTAGTCTCTCCTATTTAGTATACATCATGCACTGGTACAAAAGCCCAATTATTATACAATACAGCTTGTAGTAATGGACTAATATAACATCATTAAAGGAAATGACTTGTTCTTCCTTCAAGAGCTATGCTGGCAATTTACATGCTTTGAGTACAACAATCTTTATTGACAACAAAAGTACAATCTTTTGTAAGGTCTACAACAACTATGCATACAAACAAATGGATGCAAATGAATTACTAGTAACATACATACAATGAATAGATCAACATGTAGAGCTTGACATATCACTTATACTACTAGTTCTAAGGTCTAAACATTCTTCGATGTATTTTAATGAAACATTGAAAAGCCCTCCTTGCCTGCTTAGCATATGCTTGATACAGAAAGATTAGACAAAAGCCTCATTACTTTATCTTTACATCACCCTTAAGAGTGGTGTCAGTCTCAGTGTAAAGGGGTCCATCCCAAGGGTTCTATGTCTTGTATTTCGTCTGTAGAGAGGGCAAACCGAGACCTGTTCTCCATGATTCTATGTTTATTTTATCCACGCTACACTAAGTACAATCTTAATATCTTAAAATCACAGCATGCAAAGAAACTGAAACCAAACTGGTCAATCGTAACTACAATGTATGTTACTGTCTTAAAATCACTGTTTTCCTAACTTACTGAAAAAAATATGTTCACAATTTCACTCAAAAATAGAGATACATTGGCACATCAAGATATGATACAAAAAATTGGTATCTACAAGAACTCCTGCAAATTCAAAGTCTTTCAATACAAATCATCACCAAGTACCAAGTATACACAATGAAATTCTCTATCATGCTTCAAAGTCAAACTTACATAATAATTGCATTCGTTCCTTAAAACTGGAACACAAGAATAACAGTATTTCTAGAGTTGCAATTTCTAGACTACATATATATACATACCTGTACAAAAACTACCTACATGTCATTACCAAAAAACACAAAGGCAACACATCAAATCAATGAAAATGCACATGTATGCAAGTATGGTCAACTATCTGTGTGTGACCTCCTTGGTCATTTTGACATTTTGCTATGTAAGGTTTTATTGTATGTAGTACTAGTATAATGTAATACTGAGCTGGTAGATTCTCTACTGAGATTGTGGGAGTCGTGTGGGCAGCAGTATAAGCTCGTCTTCACACTAAGGTTCCTAAGGTTCAAAAGTTCCCTGCGCTAGTCGTCCTGACGCGGGCGAATGTCCTTCTTGGCCTTCTTTGCTGTGTGTGAGGAGGTATCTTCAGACGGCCTTTCCGCCGAGGCTTCCCATGATACACCAGTGGGCACTGCATCATCATCTTCCTCATCATCATCATCGTCGTACCACTGCAGATGTTGGAGCGCCATAGCGGCAGGCTGAGGCTGATCTTTGTGAGCGCCGCCTTCTGCTGACTGCCTCACGGGTCGAGACGCCTTCCTCTTCTGACCCACTCTGTACTCTGGCATGGTGTACGTCCCGCCCATCCAGCGAGCCGCGCTGTCCGGTTTGTTCCCGTTGTCCGGCGGGACGGTGGCTGTTCCCGCTTCTGTCGTCCCCCCCAGGTCTGCGGTGCGGTTCCATCTGGGCTGGAAGGTGGGTCTGAAGTAGGCGGTGTCGGCGGTGTTACCCACCGAGGGTCTGACCTCAGCCTTGGGGAGAGCTGCACTACCAGAGGTCTTGGGGAGGGGAACGCTCTGCATCGGACGCTTGGACAGGGAGGAGTGGACGCTGAGCGGCGGGTTTATCAACATCATTGGTGGAGGTGGGGGGAGGGTGTGTCGACCAACTCTCCCTTCAGGATCCCATGATCTACTGGACGACTTCGGAGGATACTGTTTGGCAGTTCCTTTCTTCTCTTCCTTCTTCTCCTCCCCTTCTTTCTTCCTTTCCCCATCATCTTTCTCCTCCTCCTCATCTTCTTCTTCCTCTTCTTCTTCTTCTTCCTCGTCTTTTGAGTCGGAGTCGTCAAAGATGTTGCGAGGCTGCTCGTCGTTGCGCCGTCTGCGGAGTTCCGCCAGGAAGTCCAGCGCTGCAGACCTGTTACTCTGGTCATTCAGATCTTCTTCTTCTGCAAGTTAAGAAGTTGCAGAGAAGACACAGTTAATAAGGAGAATTTTCAATGGTGAAAGATTCTTTTCTAGAATTATATCCTTATACATGTAATCTGTAAATAAATTTCATCCAGTTGGTGAACGATTGAATAGCAAAGTTATTTATACTCTCTGGCCTTTATATAGTGTTTCATGTTCTAGTAGAGTACAGGCTAGGTGTTTGTTCACTTTTTGACTCATGCCATTTATTGTTTTTGCCCCATCACCTTTTATCAAAATCTAGGTCCACTGAAGCTTTTGGAAGAGTAAGTTGTAAAATGTACTGTAGACTAAGTTGTCTACATAAATCAAGAACAATGTCATTAGAAATATGGATTATCAATACTGTAAAATATGAGCTACCACATTTGTACTTTAGAACTTACATGTACTTGGCATACAGCCACATTGTCACAGATGAAATGCATTAACATATTTTTTAGTCAATAAAGGCTTTCGTGGCCAAGTTCATAAAACCATTACTCATTTCTAGAATATACATTGTACCAAACTCCCTTAAAATCAAATGAATAAAAATCTCATACACAAAGGATTTTTTTTGGTCATTTAGAAACTATATCAGAATTATCATTATATCCTATCTGTTGGCAAGATATAGGAACTTTAAAAAAATTGTATTTAAAGTTAAACTAATGTAAGATATGCACATGAATCATGTTGAACTCAGTCGTCATACCTATGATAGCCTAATAAAAACAGGGTCACCCTGAAGGCTGTATCGTGTCCACCTGTTGGGATTGACCACATAGTCGGGGACCGGCGGCCGTTGCCAGGGGTTACCGCCGCGGGTGTCCCGTGGTTCCTGGGGACGAGCCCCGGGGTTCAGCTGCTCCAGGTTGCCGAAGGCTGATGCCATGCGGCGCTGGAAGTCGGGGTTCCCGGGGTTGTGGATGGAGTACCCCTCCCGCTCCTTCTCTTCATCCTGCTTCCCTGACATCTTGGATCTGTGGAAAAGTTCTTTACGTTACCTCCTTGACTATCCTTTTCTTTACTTTTGTTTATATGTACCAGATCACAATTGGCATCAACATATGTGCAACCTGCCGATGATCCCACGCTGTGGGGCTTAGCAATAGTGAAGATGATCTTGAGCTAATCTCCTACTGGTCGTGACAGAGAAGACATACAATACATACAGTAGTCACCAGTTCATTGTACATGTACCAGGGAAATTTCCCTACTAGCTGGCTCTTTTTGACAGGAATAATGAACAGTGGACCGCAGCTTAATGTCCCGTACTAATATAACATTTTCATTGAACAACAAAAAAATATATAACATTTTCATTGAACAACACAAAGCTGCTTTTCACCACCCCTTCTAACCATGTTGTAATGCTCATTGCCGTTTATGAATATGCATGAAAGTAAAGACAGTATGACATAATGGCGCACACACGTAATATTAATATTGATTGTGCGCTACGTACACTGTATATAATTATAATTGCATACACATATCCAAGGTGCCACAGTGCACGGGCAGGTCGTTGATCGGTCTGACTTGGGGGTGAAATGGGTCGTTGGTCGTGTTGAATGGATAGGCTGAAATCGGTAGTGTTTTGGTCGTACATTTTGCCCATTGCTTTTTGGTGGACGTAAACTGGACTGGTATTAGTCGTATATAGTTAATATCCAGACCAGTTCACGACCATATCCATCGCGACGACTAATTCACGACTGAGTAACGACTAAAAAGTCTGAATACGGTCGTTTCATTTCCACCACTCAAAAACGACTATAGTTGTCGTGACAACAAGTAACGTTGCCAGGACTACAGCAACAACAATAACACTCGGTCGCCATCTTTACCCCGGTGAGTACTGGGATTGCGACGCATGTCACCGTGGTGACGGTTTCCTTGGCTGCGAAAATGATTGACAGCTAAGCGCACCACGTGCATCAGGCTTCGTATCAACTCCGGGAGTGACGCATCGTCACCGTGGTGACGGCTTACGTATCTACCGGAATGATTGACATGTCATGGCGTCACGTGATTGGCGGCTCGGAGGCCGCGGTTTTTGCCGTGGTGAGGACCCACATCGGACCAAATAATGCGTTCGCGTTTGTTCCTGTTTCAACTATGTTTACAGCTATATCGTAGTATATGTGTAATATTTCTATGTCATGAAACCCCACTTCATTGTGCTTTTTTGGATGTCAGAACTAGTCGGAGCGGCCACAAGTCATAAACAAAAATTAAAACCAAGGACTGCGTTAGTACCGTCGGTATCCACAAATCCTTTAATAGGATACTGCTAAAAGAAACAGACTTTAAGAAAAATGTCAAGTAAACACGTTCTCCTTCAAACTACCATAAATTTTAGCATCTAACATAGAGAGAGTAACGTTGACATTTTCCAATATGACTAATGTCTTCAGTTTTAAAAAAAATAATAATAACACATGACAAAACATAGCGCAAAACGTAACATACAATTAACATAATGACATACATAACAGAACGATACAAATGACGGAGTTATTCACATAAACATCATGACATACATAATACATGAAGACGAAATTGACATACATAATACACCAAGACAGACATTGTACAAGAAACATATAAAGTTATTAACATATAAACATCATAATAGACGCAATACAAGAAACAATAACACTGTTAGTAACATCAACACATGCATAACACAATGATACAATACATAACATGTCATAACGACCCAAGCAAGGATCGAACTCGCGCCCAGCTCGCTAGCAATGGTTCGCAGTGCAGCGCGGTTACCGACTGAGCTAAGTCGGTAACGATGACAGCGGCGTCTTTTTACCTATTATTGAAGTAATGGTGACTGACAAACAACGACGAGTAGACGTAGCATATTTGTATCGCTTTCAAGTTTGCATGCTTGTGATCAATATAGATGGGTTTCATGTATTTATTGAAATATGTGAAAGTTTTTAAACCTAAGTACTGCCGCGGTCGTTTAACAGTCGTGTATTGTATTTGGGTCAACGCGAGGGTCAGAGAGGTCATAGTGCGGTACATCCTGATTACCTAAATGATTAAAAAGTACGTTAGTCAGATGAGTAACTTCTTTAAATTGTACTTTCCCTGCATATTACTAATAAAGAGGCGTGTGCATATGTCTGATATTGTTACAATTTATATAATTAAAGTAAACGTGCGATGTTAAACGATATATGGCTCATTGCAGTGAAATATAAAATATGCTGTCGCCAATTTTTACGGTTTGATAGAAGCATTATGATGGCATAGATAAGCATATAAGATATCATGACCTGTCAAAGTAGAAACCATGTAGTTCTAAGGGTGATTGGTAGTTTATTAAAACCACCTAGTCCTGTTCACCTCGCCCTAGTCTTGAATTAGACGTCAGATGGCACGTGTCATTATTCACGTCCGCTATTTATTTCTGTCACCAAACTCTGTAACATACGTTTACTTACCGTTCTTCCATATGGTCATGTTGATGTGTCTTTAAGTACTTAGTCAAGGATAAATATCAAGAATTATATTTTGGATGAAAATGTATCCACCTAACAGTACGTTGCTTCATCACGAAACATCTAACTGTTTTGTGAGTAGCTATTACCTTGTGTATGGCATAAGAACAGCTTGTTTCAAGTTGGTTGGTACATTTTGTGGTGGTGCCTATATTTACCAATATGTAATATGTAACATTGATGCGATTTTATGTGCAGCAAATAAAAACAAAAACACTGTTAACATTAAAACATTTTGTTTATCATTATATTAACATGAATTTTTATTAGACATGTTGTTTGTTATTATACCAACATGACTTTATTATTTTGCTACAAAATGCGCATGCGATCTCCAATAGGGCTACAGAGAAGCTAGTAGAATGTTTGGAAGTTCAGAGTAAAAGTTCAGAGTGACATTGGTCATGAATAATATTGTGTGTAGAAACCGCCTCAAATGCTTTTTCTTTAGGTGATAGTGTGGTTACATATTGTTACATTCATTCTGTGAAAAGGAAGACTGTGACATTTGTATCACTTTTGTCGACAACATTGATCTTACATTACCACCTTTCTAACTACCACCTTTCAGGGATAACTATCCAGTATGAAAAGAAAAGCTCAGAGCTGTGTGAAGCACTTACTTAATACGCAAACGTCTGACAAATGGCTGAGTGGAAGATCATTCTAGTATTACCCAAAGCTACACATGGAACGTGAAATGTGATCCACTTTAAAAAAAAAACAGACTAAAAGGAGCCAAATATTTTTTTTTTGCGTTGTAATTGTGAATATTTTTTTTCTTTTTCTTTTTTCCATTTTTTATTCTTTCACATTAAAAGATACAGAGATTGAACCATCCAGATAATAATACAATAATAACGGAAAATGATACAGAAACATAGAAATAATAATAATCAATTATTTCTGTCTGTTTGATTATAATAATAATGATATCAACTCATTTCAAACATAAAAATAATAATGAAATTACTATTACTGTATCTGTAGAAACATTTGATTATAACCATAATAATATCAAGTCAATTCAAAATAGAAATAATAATGATCAAATAAATATTAACGTATTTATAGAAACATTTGATTGTAACCATAACAATAATATCTATTCATTTCAAACGACAAATAAGTATCATAAGTGAACATAACATTAGCTGCATAAAGAGCCCCACTTATCGCAGTGCTTCTCCAGTTTACCTTTCTTTAAATTAAGGCTATGGAATATTCTACATTATGAAAGAAATTGATATAGCGAAGAAAGGAATCAAAGTTTAAAGAACTAGTTTTTCTACATCTAAATATATAAATTTTGGCAAGTAGGGTTATAAGATTTTCAATCCTGATTTTGGTAGAAAGCAAATACTTTAGATTATCCAAATAGTGGAATTATTTCACTGGGACAAATTTTTGTAGCTCATTGGCATCCCCAAATTTACATCCGTCATCCTATGCCAAACGTTAACTTATTTTCAGCGACAAGCAAAGAAAATTCAAACTTGTAACGCTCATTTCATAGACACCAGGTATGTCTACATCTTATTACTGTAAAGTCAAAAAGCTATTTGCTTTGACACCATCAATAGCGCAATGACAGCGTAAAAACTAAGATTAAGGAGAATGTGCAAAAATGGCATACTTTAATAACAGCCACATTGCTACAAATATATAATGCAAACATTGGTGCTAACTATTTTATAATTTATAAACAACCCAAAGGCATAGATATGGCAAAATTCGAGGTAGAATCTTTCCTTTTTACATATTACACTCCCAAAAAGATAGTCAATATTTCAGACATTCGCTATAAAAAATAGATGCTAAGGTCGAGGACGACATCACCTGGCACAATCATCAGGTGCCTGCAGACTTGACGGATCTCTTCGAAGACTACATCCAAATCGATGACTTCGAGAGGGCTTACAGCAGACGGCAACGTCAGGGCGAACGCGAGAACGACTATGACCACATAGTGATTGGAGATACCAGTTCTCACATGCGCTTTAGCGACGTGGCTCAGCGCCTGGGTGCGGACCGAGCTGGCTCCTTCCAGATGCTGTTGGTGACTGTCAGCATGTAGTCTTGGATGTGGATGACACTGAACTCCTAGCAGATTTTTACAGGTTGGTGATCCTTAAACATATGCAATGCAATAAGTAGATTTTTGCATGACTTTGTATGACCAAAAGCTCTATGGGCACATTGGATTGAATTCTCGGAACGATGTAATATACTAGTAGTATACTTTTTTAGTTCAGGTAAGCGGAATTATTCCAGGAAGATCATCACAACGATAAAAACGCAGAATGGAGAAAGCATTGAACATCATCATCAAATATTAAAGGAATTGAAACATTTCTACTCATCCTTATACTCCTTTAATATAACACCTGAACCTCCAGTTCCTAGTAACTGTGATACTTTCGTTCAGAATCATGACAACATACATTTATCTTTACAACAGAAGATGTGATGTACGGATACTTTGAAAAGTCCTTGCACACAAAAGAAAAAATGCATTAAGGGCCAAATAAGTAAAGACCAAACAGGGTTTTTAAGAAATAGATTAATGGGAGAAAATATTCTAGAAATACTGTTTGATTTTTGTAGCAGATTTCGAAAATACATTCGATAAATAAAGATGTGATTTTATGTATAAGTTGTTAGAATTTTGTTGGTTTTGGAGAATCTTTTATTAAATGAGTAGCTTTAGGCATGCTTTACAATGACATATCGGCTAAGATAATAAATAAAGGATTTATTTCTTTCCTTCCAACTCTACCGCTGCGTTCGTCAAGGATATCCGCTATCACCGTATTTGTTTATTTCATGCGTGGAAATACTTGCACAAAAAGTTACATACAACCCAAGCATAAATGGACTAACTGTGCACGTAATTGAAACAAAGATATCACAATATGTCCTTTCTTAATTGATGCTTTTAAAGCATGGCTTTCTTTTCAATTCAAACCCCCAGAGACGTATTGGAACATACACAGCTCATATGTTTCAACTCAAACATTTTCAGTGATAAAACACCTATCCAATGTAACAACTTTTACAGCAAATCTTCTTTATTACAGACTTTTAACACTGACAACAATTTCAACCCGTAAAACGTTAGAGCTAAGAACTTAATTATGACTGCATGATAGGCAGGGCAGGGCAGGACAGAACAGCTTGTCAAAGTAAGGTGGTTTGCTGCGCCCCGCCGAGATGAAGAAACCCACTTGTGGTACGCTGACTCCACTCAGCCCAGCAGCGGCATAACGGTGGTCTTCAACATGAGAACCTGTGTTCCGCATATTACGAAGGAAGAGGACATCTACAGATAAAGTGTGGACGATATACTCCTTTGTTTGGTTTCTGTTAAGTTTCAATGTAGTTTATTTCATGCACTTTTGAAGTATACGAGATATATGACAATTATTTTGATTGAATGAATGAAGACCTTTATGTTACACACATCCCCGCTGGACGCATCGACCGTTTGTACAGGTCGCAACAAAAGGATGGAATACAGATAACGTTACATATATATACATCGTCAAGTATCTACAATTACGT